TCTCTCAATTTCGAAGAAAACGCGTAAAAAAACACGTAGTTAACCACTAAAAACAAGTATCCTTCCATTTGTAACTTATGTTTGATGTCAAATAAACTTAATTAGGTCTAAACAAGTAAAAAAAGCATAAAAAAGAACATTACTTTTACACATGGCGGATGGCACAATAGGCGTGTCATTTTTGTGTGTGGCGCTTGAAACGCCCGGCGTGTCATGAAATATTTGTTCGCCGCCACAGCTAAAAGTTGTCGAAAATTGGTGCCGCAACGAATCGGTTAAGATGAACATGGACAAAACAAAGATCACGTGTAACGTGCATGTCACACCTATGCCGGCAGTTGTTGGGAGCACTAAGCTCGAAGTTGTTTACCTGGGACAAATAGTCCGACCAGATAAGTCCAACTTCGACCGAGAGGTCAATCGAGGGATTCAACTCGGCTGGGCGGCGTTCGGGAAATTACGACACATCTTCTCGTCAGGTATACCTCAAAACTTGAAAACGAGACTGTACAACTTGTGTGTTTTAGCCAGTGATGACTTATGGAACTGAGACGTGGTCCTTCACTGCTGCCCGTATGAGGAAGCTCAAGGTCGCTCAGCGAGCTATGGAGAGGGCTTGTAGTGTTATGTTACTTACATATCATTTTACACTATTTTAAATTCATTTTTCCATTCTGTTTTGATTTTCTGCATTCACCTCAAAACTGGATATTTTGTATCACCTTTATTTCCATAGGATCCTGTAACGTTTTTAAACCATAAGAACACAATAACAGATCATTTTCACTTCGTATTTTCACGCTATCAGCATTTTTTAATTTGGTGTCGATGGAGTCTACCTTTTTCGATCTTTTATTTAGTTCTCCGTAACTCTGCAATTTCGGGCTTTGTGCGCGCTGGTGAGCTACCTTTTTTCCTATAGCAATTATATCTCATTTTTCACTTAAATCTTGCCGTTTCTCTATTACGAGCCTAAAACCAAAATTTGACATGTTTTGACATCGTTGTTTATCTGGTTGTCATGGCAATTTTTATTCAAATTCGCTACCGGTCTGTAGTTTCTACTTCGATAATTCCACATAAATACTCTTTCCTCTTGGCCATTTACAAAAAATTTGCTTTCAATTAAAATAATTTTCCGTTCTCTCTAAAGGTATAAAAGCCGAACAATCGGTCAAGAAACTCTGTCTCGCTTCGGTTCTTAAACTTGAAGAATCTCCTAAAGACCTTATCCCGGGGCCGCACTGCCCCGGGATCCTGCAAGCCTCTGTCCTGCCTGAAGTCTCCAGGACCCTGCAAGCCTCTGCCCGGCCTGAAGTCGCCGGAACCTGCTAGCCTCTGTCCTGCCTGAAATCGCCCGATCCTGCTAGCCCCTGTCCTGCCTGAAGTCGCCGGATCCTGCAAGCCTCTGTCCTACCTGAATTCGCCGGATCCTACAAGCCTCTGTCCTGCCTGAAGTCGCCAGATCCTGCAGGCCTCTGTCCTGCCTGAAGTCGCTGGGATCCTGCAAGCCTCTGTCTTGCCTGAAGACGCCGGATCTTGCAAACCTCTGCATTCACCTGAAGTCGTCGCCTAGACACCCACGCCTTCACCTACGCTGTGCGTGCTCGTTCCAGGCGCTGTGGGCCTACCACCAGCACAGCCTGCGTATAATCTGTGGGCAGCGAAGAACACCACCAAAAGCGGTGTACCTCTTGGGTCTTCGGCCTCAGCTTCAATACCCATCATTTTTTATTATCTTTTTTTTTAGAAATAATTGTAAATCACCTCACCCATCTTCATCCTCATACATCATTTTTTTATATAAATCTGTAAACATCTTTTTTTTATATTTTAAATAGATTATTTGTTTTGCCCTATTTTTGTTGTTTTCTTGTCGCTAGGTTAGGTTCTTTTTTGTTTTCAATTGTCGCTTCACGACAGGCTATGGTCGGGGTTTCTCTAAATGATAAACTTAGAAATGGGGATATCCGCAGTAGAACCAGAGTGACCGATATAACCTAACGGATTAGTAAGCTCAAGTGGCAATGGGGCGGCCATATAGCTCGAAGAACCGACAATCGATGGGTAAAAAAAATGTTCTCTAGTGATAGCCTTGTACCGGTAGGCGAAGTGTAGAGAGATCAACTATATGGAGTGACAACCTGTGTTACCAGGTCACGAGACATGCAGGAAGTCGACGGGTGCAGGTGGCTCAGAACTGTGTTTTGTGGCATTTCTTGGGGGAGGTCTATGTTCAGCAGTGGACTTGTGAAAGGCTGTCAAGATGAATGATGATAATATAAATAATAATATACCGATATTACAGTTTTTAAAATACGAGTAAATAAGGCTCTACTTTTATTTGAAATTACCCCAAATTGAATGTGATTGATTGGTGTGATTTATGGGCAAAGACTACGTACGCGCGCTCTTGTGTATGCGATTCAATTCACGTTTTCGTTTTTCAAGTTATTGCCTACTGTTTACCTTATTAGTGACACGCTACTATTAATGCTTAAGTTAATAAGCTACACGACGCGAATTATGATTCTAATTTCCCTTCAGGCTTTTAACTGGCATACGATCGTCGTAACAAATAAAATTTAAAAAAATATATTCTTTCTTATCAACGACGTAACCGACGACTGTCATTATTAATAAAAAAATGGAATAAACTATTAACCTTTCGACCGCCACGCCAAAAACGCATTACCTTGTACTGTACGCCAAAGCGAAAACTGAACAAAAATACCTACGAAAGTAATAGTGTTGCCAAGAGTTGATATATCGACAACACAAAATAACTTGGTTTTGTTGGTTTTTTATGCAATAAATGACTATTTATAATCTGGTATGTTTTATTTAATTTTGCGCTGACTTCCACTCTTTATATATATATATATATATATATATATATATATATATATATACTTTGTACATAAATAAAAAGCAAACAATATCAATAAAATAGTAGTAAACCACAGCACAACTCTCCATCGTGATGACGTCACTGTCACGACTGGACGACAACAGCGTAACTGACCTTCCTTTTTGAAACTTTCTTAGAGATGTAGCCGTGCCGCACGTTGTGTATCGATTTCGAAATCGATCTAACCGAAATATACAGATATCGAATCAAAATATTTTGTGTCGGGGGAGGCGTAGGCCAAGTGAATCACAGAAGAAAAGCCTTAACGCTTTTATGACAATGGGGGTTTGATATGACGCTGATGCTGCCAGATGATTTTGAGATTGAGAAAGAAAATCGCACAACACAAAATGAAAAATTGCTCTTCATACCTTAAGTAAAAAAAAAACACATTTATTATTTGTAATTTTATATTATTAAAATAAAAAAGGTACATAATTATTCACCAATCAACAATTGTATATAATTATTCGCACTAAGTAAATCAGTCAGAATCATTCATGTTGCTCTGCACTACTTTTCCCGCTAATCACTTATGACGTCATCAGGGTGTCGTCTATCCTTGACTACGGCGCCCAGTGAAATGATTTTCGATGACGCGCTAAGGATGCGCCAGAGTTGAGATATTAGATTTATTATGCGAAGATGATTTGATATTTTTTTTTATTCATGTAGCTAATTATAGTTTTATGTTCGTAACCTTTTGTTTCATTCAAATATCAATAATAATAGTTAAAAAAATAACACGTTTGAGCTGAATTTCGGCTAGTTTTCAAGAAATCTATACCTCCCGCGCACGGCACTAGCGGTCAACTATAGACAAATTTGGCAAGCTGGACATAGTATTCGCTTAGATAAAAATCCATTTTTTTAGTTCAATGTTTCTTAGTACTTGTGGTTCTAGGAGACTTGTTTTTTATACTCACATGTTGCTGGGTTATTCTTTTTTGAGTGTGGAATTAAAATGCCAGTAATAATTTTCCAATATCTATATATCATATTTTTGTGGGCGGGGTTTTTCGTCAACTATAGACGTCGTTGGCGCTCAGGGCCCGCAGGTGCTGGTCAAGTATAGGCAACTTTGGCGGTCAAAAGGTTAACAACTAAATTACGCAAGTAGTCCCAATAACTAATATTGGTACCTCAAAGTGGAATCCGTTTCTCTCTGTGCATAGCCGGGCACGTTTTCTTAAATTATTTTTACACTTATTACCTGTGCTTGAGTACCCACTTTTAATTTCCGGGAACGTAATAATAATTTTACTGGGGCAGACTTCATGACTTTGGACCTCTTGGACGTAAATACGAGCCTTTATATCACCCCACACACTAAAGTCGGTGAAAGTTCCGACAAGTTTGCAGGCCATAGTTTATAGCCTCCGTGCACTGTAGTGACGTATAGTCCCTACGACAATAGGTATGATTAGAGTTAAGTTTACAATAAGGAGCAGTATAATTAAAGTCTTACACAGAGCAACACATCTCCTTTTCATTTAATACCTTCCGACATTACATTGCAACCCTGCCAGGCAGTGCACTGCTACAATGCAATCTTCATTGGTACACGGACATTAATTTCTAGCCTCATAAAGACTCACTTTCGTATAATATTTGCGCATCACGTCAACTTTCATTACTTAAAATGTAATACCGCACCATTCCGGTTTGAATATTTTCATCATTGGTAACAAAGCAATACTACTACAAAAATTTTTAAAAATAGCAGTAGCACACCTATACGTAATGAAGTCACGGTCAACAGCCAGCTGTCGGCCGGACGAGCAGACGAAGGTACCTAGCGGTATAACGGTTAACAGAAGGGAAGGTCACGGGAAGACACGCGACAAGGTACCGAATTTTGTAACTGAGCGAACCTAACGAATGTGTACGTGCGTAGTAAAATAGTAGGCGTTAGAAATGTATTCCCATCTGAATTTAAAAAATAAAAAGGATAGAATGTTTGAGATTTTTTTAATTAATATTTCTTCACCATTCGCCTATATTACTTATTCTGGAGCCTACTCAGCAAAATTGGCCGTATATTGCAAAATAACACTGTATAATGGGTTACTTAACAAAATTTACAAACCTTTGTATTGAAACATGACCCACACTCTGGACATGCATATCCTGGAGTCGTTTTTTCTGTTAGTATTTGACCATCAGCACCAATAACCTTAAACAAAAATTTTAAATAACGTAACTTAAATAACAAAAATTATTCAAAATTATAAAAAAATATTATGAAAAAAGCTTCTTATTAAAGTATACTATCTACTAGTTCATCTTGGAGTGATCTAAATGAACAATTAACTTTCAGCAATGAAATTCATATAAGTTCGATAAACTAGTTTTTGCAGGTTCGGGTCTAGAAACCTAATGTTCGAAGAGTTTCGTAAGGGCAACTAATGGGTGTGAAAAGTTCTAACGTCTTTTGGAGACTTAGCAGAATAGCAATTTTTAAATTACAAACGTATGGTAACTACACGATTGATTTTGAATACATAAACTATGCTACGTCTGTTACTGGTACTATGGGCCAGAAGTTGCTATAGGCCTAAGTTCTGAGTGTTTAAGTCCTTGATGCCTGAAATAAAGTTATTGTATTGTACTACACTTAACAAATCACCTGAACTATTTGTGGTTTGAAATCATCTTGCTTTATCACAGTAGTTTGTTGTTGCTGTTGCTGCTGCTGCTGTTGTTGCTGCTGCTGCTGTTGTTGTTGTTGTTGTTGTTGCTGTTGTTGTTGTACTTGTTGTTGTTGCTGTTGCTGCTGCTGTTGCTGCACCTGCTGCTGTTGCACCTGCTGCTGTTGCTGAGTTTGTTGTTGTTGCGTCTGCGGCGTGTTCAAACAGTGTCTTGTCATTTTACAATGTTGTTGAAGCTCTGATTTACTTTTGAACGCTTCGCCACATTCGAAGCACGCAACAACTCCTTCTCCCGTATGGATTCTGGAAAATAATAGTCTCTATTGAAGACAACGGTGGAAATCAATTCTACAACCTACGTGCACAAAACAACTATCCAATACTTGACAATATTCAATAAACATTTTGTTGCTCTTGGTCCTGCGCCTGGTCTCTTTTCGATCGTGGCAGGATAGTGATGGAATAGAGTGCATCTGTGCTTGTTGCATACACTCGGATACTATAATCTTGTCCTGCGCAGATGGCTAGTTTAAATGTGTGTACCGAAATTCAGTCTAAAGGACATTATTATTAACAACGAAATTAGAAAAATTGTGATGTTGAACTGAAAAAAAATAATTCTTATAAATACCCTCTCAATCAGACATTGGATAGGGCTGCGTTTTACACCGGCTTATCGAAAAGAATTTTGTCCAGAATAAAATCCGAAATAAAATTAGCACGAACCGATAAACAATTAAAATTGCCCACAAAACGGAAGGCAGGCCAAAAATTTTGTGTAGACAATTTTGATCGCACAGTGATTCATAACACTAAAACAGAATTTTATTTTCAAAAGTAAATCGTTCCGATTCGTCCGGATTTAAATTGGGTAAATTTCAAAAAACATGATTAGAAACTGGGAAAAGGATATATGAATGGAAAATGTAATGGAAGATTTTATCATAGAAGTCGGAGAAACTAGTGACGAAGAGTCACCAAGTGCTTGTAGCGATGACAGAATGAGTTCATTTGATATTGATTGTGATGAATATTATTATAAAATATGTTTTTCATTTTACTTATAATGAACCTTATTTAATTAATTTTACTCTTATTTACTTGCGTAGTAAAAAAGATTATAACTACCTGGTATGTGATACCACATCACTAGAAAATTGCTGTATAATAGGTAATAGGTAGTTATGATTACAATAATATAATAAAAAGCATGACATGGCGTGGTACGATATGGTGCAGTATAATTTGGTATTGGTATATGGTATGGTATGTTGGTACATGATGGTGGTGTGGTTGGGTACCAATACAATGTGTGATGCGGTATGGAGTAGTGTGATGTTGTATGGTGATGATGCGGTTGGGCAACAATACAATGTGTGTTGTGGTGTAGTGTGGTGGTGCGGTAGCAAGCGGTACCGACTTCATGTGCTGCACCAGCTGGAACTTGCGCGCGAACGTTGTGTGTCACTACATGTGCGATGTGGTGTGATGTGGTGTGACGGTACTGACTTCATGTGCGCGATGAGGGTGCGCTTCTGCAGGAACTCCTTGCCGCAGACGGGGCAGGCGTGCGGCACGCGGCCGTGCGCGCGCCCGTGCTGCACCAGCTGGAACTTGCGCGCGAACGTTGTGTGTCACTACATGTGCGATGTGGTGTGATGTGGTGTGACGGTACTGACTTCATGTGCGCGATGAGGGTGCGCTTCTGCAGGAACTCCTTGCCGCAGACGGGGCAGGCGTGCGGCACGCGGCCGTGCGCGCGCCCGTGCTGCACCAGCTGGAACTTGCGCGCGAACGTTGTGTGTCACTACATGTGCGATGTGGTGTGATGTGGTGTGACGGTACTGACTTCATGTGCGCGATGAGGGTGCGCTTCTGCAGGAACTCCTTGCCGCAGACGGGGCAGGCGTGCGGCACGCGGCCGTGCGCGCGCCCGTGCTGCACCAGCTGGAACTTGCGCGCGAACGCCGCACCGCAGTCCGGGCACACGAACGGCGACAGCGACCCGTGGAACCGGCTGTGCATCACCAGGTGATCCTGCCATACCATCATACATTAATCAGGAAGCTACATCATTATGATGTAAAAAAAACAAAACGGATAAACTTATTCATCATTTTACAAATCCACTGCTGAACATTGGCCGCCTTACTTGGTAGGGAATAACCATGATACAGTTTTATTAGATGATGATAGTTCGTTGATATTCCGACTTAAACGGTATTTATTAAAATATGACATAGTGAATAATGAGTGCTACATCAAAAATAACACTAGTAAACACTGGTTTAACATTAACAATTTATTTTTTAACATTAATAAAACTAAATTTATTAAATTTACAACACCAAATATTAAATCAGTGAATACATGTGTGCTTTTATATGGGGAGGGGCTGAGACATGTTGAATCCACTGTTTTTCTCGGAATTACAGTTGACGAAAAGCATCAATAGGGACCCATATATCTAAACAATTAGGTACTATTTTTTTTATTTTCCTTTTATAAAACGTTATCTCCACACTAGGATTTTCTCCTGTATCGTAGAGGCAATTTACAAACATAAACTGCACAAGGACAAACATCCAAACCCGGAACAAGTATTTGTAGGCCCTACAAATACTTGTTCTGTGCAAATACTTGTACTATACATTAGCATATGTTACTATTGTATAGTATTTACATGACATTTGGAGTCATGAATTTCATACATTTCGTTTTAATGTCATTTAAATGCAAATTATTAACACCAATTTACTAATTTCGATATAGCATTATTTACTTCATCATATTTTAGTAATTGTCGTTTTAATTTGAAAATTAAAGAAGTGTCATCAGCAAATAATATTATATCATGGTTATCCCCTACTATGTAAGGTAAGTCATTAATGTATACAAGAAACAGAAAGGGGCCGAAAATTGAGCCTTGAGGCACGCCCAATAGTACCATCGACTCGGAAGAGCTCATACTTTTAATGATAACTTTTTGCGTTCTGTTACTTAAATATGAAATAATTATTTTAAGAGCATCAGTTCTTACACCGTAGTGTTGAAGTTTCCTGATTAATGTTTCATGGTGAACACAATCCAAGGCCTTGGATAGGTCACAGAACATACCCAAAACATCCTGTAAATTCTCCCATGTTTTAAAGATATATTTAATCAGTTCAACACCGGCATCAGTTGTCGAGCGACCCCTTGTGAAACCAAATTGATTTTTATGAAGTAAATTATTTATATTAAAAAAAAATTACATTTGATCAAGAACAATTTTTTCAAAAATCTTACTAAGTGTTGCTAGTACAGAAATAGGTCTAAAATTGGCGGAGTCTAATGTACTACCAGATTTAAATAAAGGTATTACTTTACTATGCTTCATTAAATCAGCAAACACACCAGATTCGATACTAGTATTAAAAATAATAGCTAGTTGTGGCGCGATTGTACCTATTATAGACGCAATAACTTTAACGGAAATCTCCCACAGATCTGCAGTTTTTTTAATATCGATAGTTTTAAAATATTTTACATTATCTTTATATGACGTAAAATTATTTGTACACGCAATTACATTTTGTTTACGTAATGATTCGGCGACGGCAGGAGAAAAATTCAGTGACTTAGTGGTTAAGATCGGAATATCAGTAAAATATTTCACAAAAACCATTGCTACTTCCTGATCTCATTCAGTTAATTTGTTGTTAAAACTTAATTGGTAGTTTGAATTGCGAGAGTTGATCTTACCAGTTTTGCTATTAATTATACTCGTACTCCATGTCATTTTAATTTTATTTGAAGCTGTCTCAACTTTGTTGCTCAAATGCAAAGAGTGAGCACACTCTTTTAAATATTCCCTAAATTCGACGCTAGGATTATATGAACTTTCATGGCATAGATCATATAACCTTTGTCTGCGTAAAAGTATTATCAAATTCATTGCAAATAAGCTTTAACAATGTTCCATACAAAAAATTGGGATTATTATAGTATGAAAGTGATGGAAGTTTTTTCACTATGTTACTTCTAAACTTCTCCAAGCTACGTACACTTACTGGAGCAAAGACAACTTTCTCATCTACTTGCTTTTTGTGGCAATAAAACTAATTGTCCACAGTGATCAGAACTTAATTTTTGAATTATACATTTATGCAATTAACATTTGTAAAAATGCTATCTATACATGTTGCACTAGATTGATCAATACGTGTTGGCTTTAAAAATAAATTAAAAAGACCACATGATTTAAACAATTTAATATTGGTGGAAGAAGATTCTAGGAGATTGATATTAAAGTCTCCACATATTACAACAGATTTATTATGTTTATTAAGCTTAAAAAACTTCCTCCATAATTTTTTCACTGCCATATATAAAACATGAAAGTGTAGACGCTCACAACAATGAGATTGATTGTGAATGAGGCTCTGCATAATGCTCTGTAAATGAGGATTGTGAATGCTCACAACAATGAGTGAGGTTTAACGGTGGTAGAGCCACGCGGCAGTTTTTGCTGTTGTACGTATGGGCTGGCTCGAGCCAGGTTGGTACCACGACCTCACAGAACACCAGCGTGAAGTAGAAGCTCTGCTTCTGCGTTTCATCTGGTGAGTGCAGGTGGCCGGAGGCTCAATCCCCCCCCCCCATCAACATGGCAGCGGAATTATATCAAAGACTACCCCAGGAGGGTACCAGCACCCCTGGAGAATCCTTCGCTAAGCATCCACAACCATGTTATTCTACTCCTGAGCGTGGGTGCTCAGGCTGCCCCTCGTATTCGGGAGGGGGGGGGGGACCGAGACGCAGGTGTCTTCTCCGACTGATAATTCGTATCTCTCCTACCCGGGATACAAACTGCACTCCTTTGTGCCTCGGGCTGGAGTTTGCGCATATGTCAGAGAGGACATCAGTTCTCGACGCAGTCTTGAAGATTCGGACCTGTCCATCCTTTGGCTACGCGTAGACAGCGACGACCATCCGCGCGTCTACGGGTACCTCTATAGGTCCCATAACGGTAATGCCGAAACAGACCGACTCATCGACCACGTACAAATGGCTACACATTCCTTGCTACAACAGGTCCCATCCGCAGATATCGTGATCCTTGGCGATTATAACGCCCACCACGCCGAATGGCTCGGTTCAAGTTTAACCGATCATGCGGAGAGATCTGTTTATGACTTTGCCTTGGCGTATAGTCTGACACAACTGGTTACTTCGCCTACGCGAATTCCAGATGTGGAGGATCATACACCTTCCCTGTTGGACCTTCTGCTGACCTCTCATACGGACGGATATCAGATTTCCGTCGATGTCCCTCTCGGCTCTTCGGATCATTGTCTGATCCGGAGTGCATCCGGAGTTCTGCAGGTTGCCACCGTGTTTGGCATTACAGGTCGGCGGATTGGGATGGAATGCGGTCTTTCATTGCATCCTACGCATTGGGTGCGCGTTTGCTTCTCGCCGGATGATCCCAGCGCTGTTGCTGACTCTGTCACTGATGTGGTGCTACAGGGAATGGCACTATTTATTCCATCATCTGTGGTACCCATCGGAACCAGATCTCAGCCTTGGTTTAGTCACTCCTGTAAGACTGCATTACTCAGTAAGCAGGAGTGTTATCAAGCCTGGGCTGCGCCTTTGGGGACTCGAGATGTAAACACCAGCATGCTTAAAAAGAAGTATAACTTCGCCTCCAGGTCGTTCAAAAGAGTTATTGCCATGGCAAAGTCAGAGCACATAGGCAGAATTGGCGAGAAACTAGTTGAGAGCCAAGGCTGTCCAAGGGAATTTCTGTAAACCATTACTACCATCTCTGCACAGGAAGGACGACTCACTGACCCAAGCCGCAAAAGAGAAAGCCGTCGAGTGGGCCTGACGGAATCCCCCCAATTGTGCTGAGGACGTGTGCTCCGGAGTTGGCACCGGTCCTAACGCATCTTTTCCGGTACTCCTACTCCACAGGCGTAGTACCAAAATCATGGAAGACAGCTTTTGTCCACCCAATCCCTAAAAAAGGCGACCGCTCAGACCCGTCCAACTACAGGCCTATCGCCATCACCTTCTTCTCCAAAATAATGGAATCCATTATTAACTGCCAGCTCATGCGATACCTTGAGGATCACCAGCTGATTAGTGACCGCCAATACGGTTTTCAACAGAGTCGATCAGCTGGTGATCTTCTGGTCTATCTGACTCATAGATGGGCGGAGGCAGTAGAGTCTAAGGGGGAGGCGTTGGCCGTTAGTTTGGACATTATTCTATATAATAGATTCATTGGCACTGCGAAGAGATGTTGCATCCCTTTGCATTTTCTTTCGCATTTACCACGGGAAGTGCTCTGAGGAATTGTTCGGATTAATCCCAGCCGCCAAATTTCACGAACGCACATCGCGGGAGAACTCCCGATACCGTCCACATTGTCTGGCTGATTGGCGGTCCACCACTGTGCGATTTAGATGTTTTCTTCCTCGCACAACTTCCATGTGGAATCGATTACCATCAGCGATTTTTCCGGACCGATACGACTTAGGGACCTTCAGAAAAGAGCCTACTCCTTTTTAAAAGGCCGGCAACGCATCTGCAATTCCCCTGGTTCCCCTGGTGTTGCAGTTGTTCATGGGCGGCGGTAATCACTTACCATCAGGTGAGCCGCATGCTCGTTTGCACCCTCTCCTATAAAAAAAAAAGGTATTCAAACTCAACACGTGCTATTTGTACAGTTCGCTCAACATAGAGGCTCACAATATCTTTACGTTCTTTACATGATAATAATTTACTAGCTAATATTAACGAGCCACCTATTAAAACCGTACTCTATTGAACGAACTGATCACCTGGGCTTTTAATCAATGTTCATACATAAAATATGAATATTGTTGCTATTTAAGAAGAATTCAATTTCTAGCTCTTTGCCTATAATGCCTTGTATTATTTTGATGCACCAGGTGTAAACAATTTTTATTATCACTCTGTGGAGTCATACAATTAAGGATTTGTAAGCTACATTCTAAATTATTTAAATTATTACAACCGCTAGAGATTACCTCTATTGTCTCATTTTCTAATTTAAATTACTTGGAACTGATTCCAAATTACATATTAAGCCATTATACTGCTCAATAGAAGCAGATGTCTGTGTAGCCAAGTCTTTGGCTGAGTTAATAAATAAACAATAAAATAGCACATTTGCTAGCTGTCTTAAATTATATTTGGATAGGTAGTACCTATCTCCAGTCAAAAATGTCTTAATTAAACTATTTATGTCTATTAAAAGATATCTATTATTATAATTATAACAAATGATTCTATTCTAATACATTCATTTCTTACTTACCTACATACAGTATTATCTAAAGTCCACTGCCGAACATAGGCCTTCCCCATAGACTGCCTCATATGGTAGATTTTCCCATAGATGCCAAGCTTGGCAGGTGGGTTGGCTATCAAAGTTTTTATTTATAATTTTGAGTTGTTATCAAGAAGATACTGCTACCCATCTCCTGTTTCAATTTTCCTTACTAGCCTCTTTCAACTGTTGAACATAGGCCACCGTATGGGGCAGTCTTTCTCAAAATGGGCGATAACGCCCCTTGTGGGCGTTTGAGACCTAGAGGGGGGCGTTAAGGGCCTAGAAAAAATGGGAGGCGTTTGTGTGGTTTAGGAGAGCAATGTTTGATTTATAATTTCATTTAGATACTTAATATTTTAAAATGTACTAAAATTAAAACATACCTTCTTACTACTCAATATCGAATAATTAGTTTAAATTTCTGTCGTGTATGATGGTATAAAAACTAGAAATACTTAACATAGATTTCGTAGGATAGCCCGTACGCCGTACGCAATCGAGTTGTAACAAGTTTTTGTTAAATAACGCTATTGGTGCAATCCGGTAGGAATAGGCTGGTTTATCGATACTTGTCTTAACTTGCTCAGTGCGATTGAGCGTCAAAAGAGATAAACGAGTTTGTGCGTGTTTGTCTTATTCCTGTTGGTCAGTGCTGTATTTAAATCCTATATAAAAGCTCGTAATATTTTTTATATTTTCTTTATATTTTCATTTGTGGTTTCACACGCAATCTTTAAACAAGTATTTAAGTTCTTCACTTCATTTACATATTTGTAACAACAAAGCCATGTCGGATGCAAAAAGTAATATAGTACAGAATATATTAAATATAGATTCATAGAAAATTCGACAAATCCATCTTTGCCTTCTTTGTTTAAAAAATTTTCAAACGAGGCGATGAAGCCTTCAAGACGATCATTTGAATAAAATTCATCTGGATAAGAAGGACAAAAATGTAGCCTATTTTCAAGACCTGGAAAGAAGCACAATACTTGCTCAGCCAAGTGTATCAAAACTTTTTTCGGTGGCTGCTAAGCCAGACAATGACCGACTTCGAGTTTCATACAATATCTCTTTATTAATTGCTCAAACAGGTAAACCACACACCATCAGAGAAACGTTAATTTCGTTAATTTCCAGCAAGTGGGACATTTTTTTAAAAAGAATGCTACAATCACTACATAAAACAAATTAGAAATAACATGATAGCGATTGATCATTCCCAGGGGTTATTATCATCAATAAATTATATAATAACCCTTTATAAACAATCTTTGGCTAACAGTTATGTTTTTGAATTTGGCAGTGGACAAGTTTTGTATATTTTCGGGGATTTTCCTGTAAAAGCGTATACATTGCCCCGAGAATGAATTACTGACTCTGTGAATGTGTCTCTTCCTAGTATTTATAAAGTACTCGTAATTCCACTTATTTTTTAAACTACTTTTTTAAACTACTAAATGTATGTCCATGTGCAATTTATATATGTAAACCACTTACACAATATAAGAAAAAATTCTAGTGGCGAAAATGCTTAAAAAAAGTAATAGAATCAGGCGTCACTTTGCGGAAATTCAAAGTTGGTACCAACTTTAATTTATACTTATCTTCACGCACAATCCCTGACGGGGTAGCCAGAGAGAACATATCGCCAAGTGTCACGATCCTTACATACCTCTTTCGCTTCTTTCAGATTCATTATCTTCTTCATGCATGCACGTCTAGGTATCCGAGTACTCTTGACCCTACCCTCTTCGAGCAATTTGCTCACATGGTCTTCGAAAGTTAGTCTCGGTCTACCTCGACACCTTTTAATATTAACTTTCGCGCTATATATTTTCTTCACCATTCGGTCTTCACTCATTCGCTCAACGTGCCCAAACCACCGAAGCACGCCCTTATCAATTTTTGTAATAAGGTCATCTTTCAAACCTGCCATATTGCGAATCTCTTCGTTTCGCTTTCGGTCGGCCATGGTAACGCCGCACATTTTACGAAGAGATCGCATCTCCACTGCATTCAACTTACTTTTATGCTTCTTCTGGCATAACCAGGTTTCGCTGCCATATAACAAAGTCGGTACCAACACTGCGTTATGTATTGCAAGGCGTGCACTCTTCGCTATGCCTTGCCTTTTGACTAACGCAGCCAGGGCACCATTGACTTTGTTCCCGGCAGCGACACGCCTGTCCACATCTAAATCTAAATCCACATCTAAATTTGGGAGAATGTAAGAGAAGTTCTAGATTTGGCCAGGGGAAACGAAAGAATTGTTGTATGTGGTGATTTGAATGGATGGGTTGGTACCGCTCGACCAGGGTACGAGTCGGTACTTGGAAAGTTTGGCGATAAAAGGGTTAATGATGCTGGCAAGCTTATACTGGCGGTGTGCAAGGAAAAGGGTCTTCTTGTGACAAACACTATGTTTAATCACAAGAAAATCCATATGTATACTAGAGAACGAAAGAATGAGAGAAGTATGATCGATTTGTTCCTGGTGGATGACCGACTGCGAAAACAGGTGATGGATACGCGAGTGTTCAGGGGTGCTGACCTGGGAACGGATCACTATCTAGTGATTACTAGATTTAGGGGTCTGTTCGCGGGTTGGCGTTACCGGACGGCAGTAACAGAACCACAGTCGGTCTGTCGCATCCGAAGCTGGAAGCTTCAGGAAGCGGATACTAGGAACAAATATCATGCGAGGGTAGCCGAAAAGCTTGACACCATCGATGGCAGAAAAGAATGTGTAGAAAGAACATGGCAGAACCTTAGGGATGGAATGGTTAGTGCAGCGGAAGAAGTGTGTGGAACAATAAAAAGAGGCAGTAGTAAAAGAAGAGATGCATGGTGGAATGATGAAGTGAAAGAAGCTGTAAAGAAGAAGAAGAAAGCATGGTTAGACTACTTGGCCTCTAGTAATGATAAGGATATGAGAGAGAAGATGAAAGAAAGATATAGGCTGCAGAAAGTTCACACGAAAGCACTGATTGAGGAAGTGCGTGAAAGGTGTAGAATGGAAGCGGACGAAAGGTTGTCGCACAACTTTAAGGAGAACTCCAAACTCTTCTGGAAAGAGGTTGGAAGGGCCCGAAGTGGTGCGACGGCCTTAAGAATGAACAAAGTGCTTTCGAGAACTAATGACGTCCTCTCAGAAAAATCGGACGTCATGTAGCGATGGAGCGAATTTTATAGAGAAATGTATGCGTGTGATGATCTTAGTGAGGGATCCGGGGATGACGCCGTGACTGATACGCCAGACCCGGACCTCGATGACACTGAGGTCATCAGTATGAAAGAGATTGAACGTGCGATTCGAAGTTTGAAATGTGGTAAGGCTGCGGGACTAGACAGAGTTACTGCTGAAATGGTCAAGTATGCTGGGCCTCGCGTCTGGGACAGCTTTCGTCTGCTGTGCAATTTGTGCTGGCGGACGGGGGATGTCCCGGATGATTGGCGATCCGCAGTCATTGTGCCTTTATATAAAGGTAAAGGTTCACATTTTGACTGCAGGTGCTATCGGACGATCAGCTTGACCAGTTTAGCAAGTAAAGTTTACTCGAAGGTTTTGACATGTAGGATGCAAGAGAAATCAAGAGATTTCTATGGGAGGCACAATGCGGATTTAGACCTGGAAGAGGATGCACGGATCAAATGTTTTCTCTCCGCATGATCACGGAAAAGCTTCTGGCTGCTAACCAGAAGATTTTCTGTGGTTTTGTGGATCTTGAGAAAGCATTTGATAAGGTTGTAAGGAAGAAAATGTGGGAACTGTTGCCGGGGTATGGTGTGGATGGTCAATTGCTAAGGGCTGTGCAGTCTCTTTACTGTGACTGTAAAGCCTGTGTGCGGGTAGGGCATGACCTGTCACCCATGTTTAACGTCCAAACGGGCGTAAAGCAGGGTTGTGTCATGTCTTCCTGGCTGTTCATACTGCATCTCGACAGCTGTTTACAGAAGCTGAAAGATAGTTGTTTGGGTGTGAAATTGGGTGACATTAAAGTAAATTGTCTGCTGTATGCTGATGATGCAGTGCTTATTGCACCATCAGAGGCAGAACTGCAGGCATTAGTCACGTGTATGAAAGAGGAATGTGAAATTAAAGGTCTCCGTTTGAATGCTAATAAAACTAAGGTTCTGGTATTTGAAAGGGACGAAGAGAGAACGAAGTGTGAAATATGGGTAAATCAGGAATGTCTAGAACAGGTAAATGAAATTGTATACTTGGGGAGTGCTTTTAGCCGGGATGGAAGATGTGATTTATATGTGAACTTTAATTTAAAAAATAGAATTATTAAAAAAATATCCCTGTAACACTCCCAAGTAATCTTGAATGTGAATTCTGATTTCAAATGCTTCTATGGAATTTTGCGTATCAAGTGCCTGCAAATGTGATCTATTATGATAACTAAACATGAAAAATTCATACTTATTATTTAATTATTAAAATATTCAAGACATAGTAGGCACCACTTTACTTCTTCTAGCGTATAGTACTATGGTTGTGTTCCATTTTGAAATGAGTTACCTTCTGTGCGAAGTTCTCGCCACAATCGCTGCAGACATAGGGCCGTTCGCCGGCGTGGTACTTGCTGTGAGTGACGAGGTGTCGCTTCAGCGGGAAGCCGCGCCCGCACTCGCCGCACATGAACGGCCGCCCGCGACTGTGCACCTGCGGCCAACCAATATCATATATAACAAACATGACTCAAACCACAGATAACAATGACAATGATGACTGAAACAACAACAAATAGATTGTGTTGTTTTAGTATATTTTGGTTTTCCAACCTTGGCTATTTTAAGAAACCCTTTCCTATTTGATATGTCGCTTTGAAAAGCTCCTTAATGTTTTTACGTAACAATTGATTTTAATGGTAAAGATACACGACAGATAAGACACAACTTTTGCACCATTATTCATTTTATTTTTAAAGCATTTATCAATCTCTTTTCTAATATCATAACTACCTTTTGACTAAGGCTCCGCCTGTGTGGGTTTATAGGTAAAGTAAACCTTCAAGTTGTTTCGTGGTAAATAGTATTCTATAAGTTAATCTACGACATAGTCTATATATTTACTTATTTTCTTTTATTTTGTTTCTATGTTTTCAGAATACTAGCATTACTATTAACATTACTAACATTGCCGTAACTGAAGTGCTTGTGATGACAAATAGAACTCATCCATACCCATTAGGATACTGTCACTGATTCTGATTGCAAAATTTCATCCAAATCTGTTTATTCGTCTATTGAGTAACAAGTATCTAAACATCTTAACCGATTCGTTGCGGCACCGATTGCGGCACCGATTTTCGACAACTTTTAGCTGTGGCGGCGAACAAATATTTCATGATACGTCATGACATGGCGTGTCATCAACGCCACAGAAGTTGATGACACGCCTATTGTGCCATCAGCCATGTGTAAAAATAATTTTCTTTTTTATGCTTTTTTCACTAATTAAGTTTAGTTGACATCAAACATCAGTTACAAACGGAAGGATACTTGTTTTTAGTGGGTAACTACGTGTTTTTCTACGCGTTTTCTTTGAAATTGAGAGTAAGTGACTTTTTTTATGCAAACCTTTAGTACTATATATTGTTTTATAAAAAAAATCATTTATATAAGTTTTTTTTTTAAACGTTACCCCACACTAGGATTTTCTCCTGTGTCGTGGAGGCAGTTTACAAACATAAATTGCACAAGGACAAACATCCAGACCAGATTGCAGAGTAGCAACATATTGCGTAGATCGGAACAAAAATTAATAATTTTTAATCTGGAGGTAGCCGTGGTTAACTATGACATTGGGACGTTATACACCTCAGTCCCCCCGTGACCATGGGTGCTGTAAAGTGCTCGGAACGTTGGGAACATAAAATGAGCTAATATACGCGATAAAATCCGTAAACTTTGTTTTATTTAAATGTGTAGTGTTGGCGTAAATATAAGAAATCATTATACAGCCAAATCACCCTGGAAAACATTGGTTTTTATTAAATTTAACTTTCACCTAATAATAACATTTGTAAATATCAAACAATTAAGAACCTTAATTTGGAAAAAATAAGGTTTATGATTCATTGATATTTACAAATAATGTTAGATATCATTTCATGTTATACAAATGTAAAAGTAAAGTCAATCTGAAAACGTCTAATTAGTAAGAATAGCAAAACAAGTGTTTTCAAAAGGAAAAAAACGCCGGCACTATACGGCGGCGGATTGACAAAAGACTATTTATTAGCGAACTTTTTTATGCATGAACGGTTTCGAACTGTTTCAAGCAAAAATAAACCTTATACCATATCACAAGAACACATGGTACTTCGTAGCCTAATATCGTATGGCCGAATAGACATTCGGCCTTTTGATAACAATAAGATGGCAATTCAACCATTGTAAGCAAAATTAAACAATAAGACAATTTTTGCATTGTTTTTTTTTTAACAGGAGACTTGTTTTCCAGAAATTTATTTACAACTTGAGTTTGTGAGCGATCGCATTGAGTGCTATTATTTGTTACTTATTAGACTATTTTTCCACAACATGATTTAAAACCCACAAAGTGAAAAGAGTACCTTGTACAAGTTAAAAAAAGGTTGTCAACCCCTGAAAATTTCAAATTTTCAAAATATCCAGAAACGAAGCTGTAGGCATGAACTACTTGAAAAATAATGACTATTTTGTTCTGGGTAAATCTTTCAAAAACGCAATTTGAGCGAGTTATAACGATTTAAAAAAAAAAGACACGCCTCGCGTGTCATACGCCACACAAAAATACGCCTGGCGTGCCATCCACACTGAACCGGTTAAGCTTTTATAAATAGTTTTACAAACTACTAAATAGTGTTTTTACAATTACCCTCGAATGCGTAACAAGATGATGCTTCAGTGTAAACGCCATCTTACACTCATGACACTTGTAGGGACGGTCTGCAGAGTGAAGCAGCAAGTGCGTATTCAGACAGTGCTTGCGTGCGAACGCCTTGCCGCAATGTGCACACACGTGGGGGCGTTCACCTTTAACAAAGAGATAAATCATGTTAACATTTAATATACGAAACTGTTATTTTAATCTACAAATATCTGAATAGATTTCTAAAGAGTAACAACTGCTGTTTGTAGTCTGGTGGTTTTGTAGAAGAATCCATCTTTAAGGCAAATAAATATTAATCTAATCTTATCTTATCCAGGCATTAAAAATAAATAAAAATTACATCATAATAAAATCTGTAAAAATTATTTTCATTGAATTAGGTATTTCTTAATTAGAGAAACATATAGTACAAAAGGAAATAGTACATGTATGTATTATATACATTATATTTTCAAAAGTGCCCACAAACTGGGGCACATTTAGCCCCAGTTACATATATAATATATAGATTATATATATATATATATATATATATATATATATATATATATATATATATATATATATATATATATTTATTTATTTAATCTTTCATGTACAAAGTTGTACATATGGCGGACTTAATGCCATAAGGCATTCTCTCCCAGTCAACCATTAGGCTAAACAGAGATAAACAAACAAGAGAAACTAGCTGGCCAGGCAGACGTTGTTCTGCCCTTTTCGACGACCCTTCCTATGAAACAATCCTTAAATTCGCAATAAAAAAAATATTGAAGGTCACTTATTGGGATAAAAAGTATCCTAACTCTCAATTTGGACCAAACTGCACACAGTGTACAAAGTTTCATTGAAATCAGTTCAATAGTTTAGGGAGTTCATCGCGGACAAACAATGTGACACGTAATTTTTATATATAAAGATTATATATCTAAAATTTTTATTATTATATATCTAACATCCAGTGTTACTCGCTATTATCGCTTCCTGCATCTATAAACAGTACACACCTTGATGCTTTACTAATTTCTGAGTCATTTCTCATGCCATCGCTCCCTTCTACAAAGTTTGCCTTACCTGCTTTTTAATTGCTTTTATAATATTGATTGGATACCTATTGTTGACAATACTAACATTAATGACATAATTTTAAAGATATACAATAACCAGCCCCGCTCGAACGCGTAAAGATAAATCGTAACCCTACACCATGGATTACACGTGGTATAAGGGGGCTAATGAGTCAAAAGGACAAAACTAAGCGAAGGTATAAACGTCTCCTATCTGAAAATAATTAATATTTTAAAGTTTTACGAAACCGCTGCAGTTGTTCGTGTCGGGATGCTAAAAGACGCTACTTTTATGACTCTCTCCATAATATAAATTCTACTGAGATGTGGAAACTCTTACGTTCTGTTGGTGTCAGCAGGTCTTCGATCTTACAATGCAAAGACGTTAAAGTAAATGATCTAAATAAACATTTTGCTACTTCTCCTATGACTAGATCTCTACATCAAATCAAACACATGACTGACATTGTCGCGTACACCGAAACCACACGTTTTCCCTTTTCAACTTTCCCTTGTGATGGAGGAAGACGCCAAAAAATCCATCCAAGCCATCTGCTGTTGATAGTGACGGTCTATGCTCGAGGATGATTATGCCAGTTCTACCTCTACTTCTTCCAATTCTTACTCACATATCTAATTTCTCCATATCATCCCCATCTTTTTCTTCAGTTTGGAAACAAGCATATTTAATTCCTTTACCTAAGGTTGCTAATCCTTCTTCTCTATCTCACTTGCATCCCATATCTATTTTACCCTTTCTTTCTAAAGTTCTGGAACACATAATCTATAGATAACTCTCTCTTCTTATCCTCTCTTTGCTTTCTACATATCAGTCGGGCTTTCGTCCTGGTCACAGTACTGTCTCTGCTTTACTTAAAGTAACCGATAATATCTGTTGGGCCATGGACAACAAATCTCTTACACTTCTAGTTTTGCTTGACTTTAGCAGTGCTTTTACCTCAGTAGACATCGATATTCTTCTCCAGATCCTGAAATCTATTAACATTTCTCCATCTGCTATTGCGCAGTTTGGTTCGTATCTTCGAGGTCGCTCGCACTGTTTCCGTCTTAATGACACTCTTTCTGATTGGTCTGGTATCACTACGGGCGTGCCTCAGGGTGGCGTTCTTTCTCCTCTTTTATTTTCTATATTTAGTAAATCTATTACGAGAGTTATTACGTCCAATTTCTATCTTTACGCGAACGACTTACAGCTGTATCGTCCATTTTCCGGTGTATAATACAAATAATGCAATTGAAGCCATGAAGCCTGGCGTCCCACAGGGCTCCATTTTGGGTCCTCTCTTGTTTGTGATCTTTTCAAATGATGTTAATTGTTTTAAAAATAGTCGGTTCCTTTTATATGCTGATGATCTCAAAATATATCAATGCATCGATAGGATAGAGAATCACTATTTGCTTCAAGAAGACCTTGACAGATTTAACAATTACTGTGCTCTTAATAATTTACGACTCAATTAAAATAAATGTAAAGTAATCACTTTCACAAAAAAACGGAATATAAGCTACTTTAACTATTCTCTTAAAGGTACAGATATTGTAAGGGTGAATAATATAAGGGATTTGGGTGTGACTTTTGATAGCAAATTACATTTTGATATTCATATACAAAACATAATTGGTAAAGCTTTTAAAATGTACGGACTTGTTATGCGTTCCTCTACTAAAAGACAATGCCCATCTGTGCCCCAGAAATGCCCAGATAAAGTATATTACAAGATTGCTCTAATAAATAAAAACTAGAATTATGTTGTTAATTTTAAATCATATGAAGCACTGGATAAAAAATAAGAAAAAATAAGACGTTCTTGTTGACATTGCAGTACGTATCATTCATCGTTTCAATCATTAATTCATGCTTTATTAATTACGGTCTGGAATCACGTCCTTTGGCCCATGTAAAACTCAACATGATTGATATTAGTCATAAAAGTGATTAATAAATAATCGAATAATAGTATACTGCTTTACAATAAAAACAAATAAAAATATGATTTTATAATAAACGTCATCAGATGAAAAAAACATGACCCAGTTAAGCATTCATTTTTGTTATCAAAAGCCAGAGACAGACTAGTTTTTTACCAACGCCATTGATGGGACTATTTGTTTGTTCACCTATCCATCATTGACAGTCTCTTAAATTATAAAATCTTAGGCTTTGTTTAGTCCGGGGCTAAATAATTGGCATGATAAATAAAATCTTCGAAAAAGGAATCACTTTTTTGTTGATCAATTGATCTAAGTAATCGATTCCAATATCGATTATTATTTTACATTTTAATTATCAACGAGTTGAATAAAGATCTAAATGATGTCTCCAGACATTCAAAAGTAAAAAAGAAATTTGTGGTAGTGTTTAAGTATTTCTAGGCTTCAAATAAACAAATATAAATAAAGCAAAAACCTAATGAAGTAATGGCTCAAAAGACTTAGCTCCAAGTCAAAAACATTCCAAAAAAAACTAAAATAACTGTCACTCATTCTTTCACTGTATAAAAAACCAGTACGAAATTATCATGTTTAATGTCCAATATCTTTTGAACCGGTGCTTTATATGACATTAAATCTAGATATATAAATACTGTTAAAAAGTTATCATATGACATAAGGCTGCAATTTGGGCATTGCATGGCATTGCTGACTTTCAGCTCCATACTAATATGGGCACGGTCCTTTAGAAACCCCACCACTTTAATCTATCTTTTTAAATCTTTGGTCAGGCCTCAATTGGAGTACGGAGTACCTGTATGGAACCCACTTTATAAAAAATATAATCATAGCATTGAAATGGTACAAAAAAAGTTCTTGCGTCGCGTTAATTACAAATATCACCGTAAGCATTTATCGTATGTGCTCCTTTTAACAAAGTATAAGCTCTTAGACTTAAGGTCTAGACGCACTCAACTTGAGGCAATATTACTTTATGATCTGTGCAATAACAAGTATGATTGCATAGATATAATTAATTGTATTAGTTACTCCGTACCATCTCGCGCACGTATGCGTTCTTTGCGTCCTCACTCACTCTTTGCTGTGTCAAGATCTCGGACAAACGCCGGTATCCGATCGCCGCTTCATCGTATGGGTGACACATACAACAAAAAATTTAATTCGGTAGATTTATTTTCTTGCAGTACCAGATCATACAATAGACAGATAGTTAACTTGATGTTAAACACTTAATGTCTCTTTTAAAGTCTTGAACACATTAACTACTAACACATAAATTATCTAACCAATGACTATATATGTACATGCACAGACACACAAATACGCGCGCGCACGCACATGCGCGCACACACATCCTAACTCACAAAAACACACAAAACTTTAACCTCTAATACATGTTAAACAATATTTTAGAAATTAAGGTACTTTATTTTTACAAAAACTAGGTCCCTCACATAATTATTATTTGTTTTATACTCTACATGTGACCATCGTCGTTGAGTTTATGATAAGTAATAAATTGTAATAGAACATAAGCTTTAGCAAAGATATATTGTAAACTTGTTTGTGGTTCTCTAAATAAATTTAAAAAAAAATTAATGCGGATCTGAGCCGCATCTGTAAATGGTCTATATCCTTTGGACTATTAGACTAATCCCACGAAATCGCAGACCATCATAATAGGCCGCAGGCATTTGCGTAATAAATGAGAATTTACATCATTACCTCACGTCTGTTTTAACGGTATAACCTTTGCCGGGGTACTGTAAAACTTAGCCGTCATATTTGATTACTATTTATCATGGTCCACGCATATCGCCGATGTTAGTCGTAAGGCACATTTTATCTTGCATTCATTTAAATGTCTTCAAAATGTCTTACCCCTAAAATCTAATATATCACTCGTGCTCACTCTTATCGTACAACTGCTTAATGATGCTGACGCCTGTTATTTGGATGCTACAAAGGAGCTCCTTAACGAACTCGAGCACTTGTAAAATAAGTGTAACCGCTTCATATTTGGGCTCAAAAAATTTGACCGAATATCTCAGTTTCGCAAGCAACTCAAATGACTCTCAATTCGACTTCGTAGGAACACTCGATAGTTATGTCTCCTCTATAACATCCTGCACAATCCATCCTCTCCCTCATACCTCAGAAGCAGTTTCCTTCACCCATTCTCCGGATAAACCATGCAGATCCCTTGTTAAAACTCTACTTAACTTTCCCATCTATAATTCTGGTTTTTACTCCAAATCCTTTTCTGTCCATGGGATTAGGTTATATAACTCACTACCGCCTAACATAACAATTTCCGAAACATTATTGGTACTTAAAAAACGTGTTAGAGATAATTTCTTTGCATCCTATTAATTAATATGTTGGAGAATTCAACAGAGCATCGCAATTTTGATCTCGGAAATATATCAGGATAGCATTAAATGTTAAAAATAATAAAAATGTGAGAGCGGATGTTCAACTTGCTGTCTAGCTTACGCAAATAATCATCATCAGTAATAAGACAACGTAATGCACTATACATTCAGTATAGGGAAATTACAGTTCGACCATACCGTAACACGTCTTCGCCACAATCACACATCAGTGTAACGTGAGGTATGTTATTACATGATAACACCAAAATATGTAAACCAACAGCAACACTACTAAGAATTACAACAACGAACATCGAACAGAACCACGACACTATCTTAGCACTAGTAGAACGACCACACTCGTAGAATGACTTAAGCGGAATCTCTCGCGCACGGTGCCTACAGTGAACTTTATACTGCACAAACAAGTGGGGGTTTCTCGATATACCCTCAATTCCACCTCGATCCAACCTGTATTTTATAGACGCTCCGACAAATATATATTATTTTATTACATTAGTATAAGTTTATATATATATTATATGTAGCTATTGTATGTATTATTTTTATTTATTGTATTATTTTATTTTTATTTATAGTATTATTTAATATTGTTTATGTAGCATTTTGTATATTACTTATAGTAATTTTGTCTTTTTAATATATAATTTCCTCTGTGAGTCTACTGGAAGATATTTCAGAAAATTATGGAATAAGTAGAACCTTTGTACAAACTCACTATAAGACTGTTTCTGTATCTTGTTGTGTGTATATAAATAAATAAATAAGAAATCATACCAGTATGGACCCTTGCATGAGTAGTAAGATGGTGTTTCAACAGGAATGACTTGCCACACTCGTCGCACGAATACGGCCGCTCTTTAACGGCGGGCGGAGCGCTCGTCATCAATACCGCTGTGTTCAGCAGCTCTGTCTGTGAAAAGATTGCCTGCTATTCCATTACTATACAACATGGACTTTATGCCACAGTTTACTTTAATACAAAACACATTAAGTATTTTAGTGAATTAGATTTTGAAGTAATAACGGTAATCACAAATAATATATTTAACTGTGTAAGTAACAAGGAAACCAAGTTAGATCCCTGTCATTCAGAAATTGTTAATTGTAGTTTTAAGTGTAGATTCGCAAAACTTATGATAGAAGAGGCCGGTGACAAAAATATATAGGCTGTACATTCTTTTTTATTTCACATATAATAGGGATAATTGCAATGCTAATATAAAATATGCGAAGTGAAATTTTAACCTAAAATCCGCGCGTTTAGATTGAGATGCGACCATTTGGAACTGAGGCACGCACTGGCCACCCGCCAACTGTTGCGTCAACGAACTCGCGTCATAGGTCGCCAGACGTAGTTAGTTACGTAGTGGCTATTTGGCTGCCTCGTTGATCTAGTTGTTGTAAATGTGATTGCCGATCATATGGTCCTGGCTTCGAATCACGGGTGGGGGTCAGTGTTCTCCTCACCCCCATACCTCAGAAAACACGTACAGCCGTTAGCAGGTGTAGGAACTTGATATCTCTCCTGTCATGTCTTATTTCACTCACGGAATAGAGATATACACATTCGTGGACAATAATTATATCCCGCGTAGCTGACTAGTCTTCATTTAGATTGGCCATAGTGCCTAAAATTTGATCTAGAGGACATTATTATTATTATTATTATTAGACTACTACTTGACAGCAATTTATTAGGAAAAAGTCAGTGGTTACAAACCTATCGACATGCGTACAAGCTTGGATCAAAGAATTTGACAACAGGAACCCTGTGGACATTGTGTACCTAGACTTGGAATTCATCTTTGAAAAAGTTCCCCATGAGCGCCTAATGAAGCTGGAGGCAGTTTAAAATTCATGGAACACAACTAACATAAACAGAACTACCTGAAAGGCACAGTATTTCAAGTATGTAAAGGCAATTCTCTATTGCAAGTGATGCCAGTACCCCAGGGATTGGCACTTATTGTCCACCTTTTTGGAATTTATGTAACAGATTGCTTTGAACTTATAAACTTCTAAATTGGTGTTTCTGGCTAACAATGGAAAGTTACTTATTATAACTTATAAGCTCTGGACAGCTACAAAAAGATTTACTGTTTACAAAGACTGGACAGGATAAAGTGTGCAAATAAAAAAAGCAATGAAGATGCCGCAAACAATGTTGCAAGCCCTATGAGGATAGATTGTATGCATTGCCCTTACTTCACAGGCAGAAATGCGCCTACACGGCGACCTTATAGAAGCTTATAAGATAATAATGAACAAAACAAAATCTAAGACTGTCTTGTGGCCACTATCTCAAACTACAGTGTATTCTTGCTAATTTTCTCGCTATAAAAAATGAAGTGATAATTTTTTTTATAGAATAAGGGCGATAAACGTGCACACAGTCCACCTGATGGTACACTCACCATACGAAACAGCAGCGTTAAGCTGCTATTTTACGTTCGTATTCTGTGAGAGAGTGGTACTTCCCTGTATGAGCTGACCCATTCGTGATACAACTGTACTACTAATATAGCTACAGCATGACTCTACCATGTAAAAAACTTTGGGGTCAGCAGCCTCAAGGGAAGCTAGTCGACCAAGCTGGTTAATAAATGTTGGTTCTCAGCATGTCCATCAGCGGCGCTGCTTAAGTCCTTATTTCTTAGGCAACAGAATAAAGATATCATTTTTTCAACATCTATGAATGCTATTAAAAACAAATATGACAACTGGCTCAAACAACCATTCAAGACCATCAATTCTAGCACTGCGTGATAGGTGTAAATAAACAAATAAGTATTTGCTTGAATTAAGAATTACTATTTTCTTCATTACTTTTAAGATTTATGTTATTGTGTAGACTATTGTTGCGCGCCAATATTAATGTCTTGTACATGGCAACACTAGTTACCACTAGCGCCCTCTAATATCGAGTAGCAGAACTAGGAGAGTCAAGATCCTTCTAGAAATTTCGGGACCGATATGTACTCGAACATTCTAGATGTTTCTACTGTAGAAGGTTCTGGAAACTATCTGAGGCCCTATATAAGGCTGGTATAGACCATGACCGAGGCGGTATTGAATTGGCAATATAAGCGAATACTTCGAAGCGATACAACTGCGAAAACTAAAGTGATCAATAGTACAATTGTGTTTTATGATTAATGTGGTTTATGTTGTAATTAGTGATCTGTAATTAAAGTGTCGATTTTGGTAATTCAATCGGCAGTTTTTAATTATCTCGAACCCCAAGCTCGTAACACTATAATAAGTTGACAAAAGGTTAAAAGGAAAAATTTGGTACAAGAAAAATTATAACAGGAAATTTGGGTTACAAATTTATAAAACATTCTCAAAAGAACTTAATTCAACAACCAAATTTTGAAGCTTGGAGATATAAAATAATAACAAACATGAATTTCTTTGTTAAGCCTTCTTCTATTTCGAATTGTGTCATTTTCAATTAACTTTGAAAAGGTTTCATGACTTAATGCCACCGTGTAGTATGCAAAAAATTTGTTTACCTATTTTTATTCACAAGGATACAGGACTTCCATCATTTCTGAGTTCACTAGAACTACTACAAATATTGGCACATTACCTCAAAATAATTTATCAGATATCAGAGATAAAAGTTTCATTGTGATATTTTTCTTCACCAAACTAGTGTAATGTGATCAAAATAATGTAAACGAGAAGATGGTCCCATGGGCATGTAAAATACACCTTACGCAGCACTCCCTGCACTGCGTGTGAACTGTACGATTTCTCGTTTCTCTGAGAATATACCTTTGACCGTCTTACGTAAAACATGTCTTTTATTGAAACACAGCGAAACATATACCCGTTTATGCTGTGTTCACGAATGTGATCCTTGTTAACTTGTAAAGCATTTGATCTTGTTAACCATGACCAATTACTACATAAACTAGAAATGTATGGTGTAAGGAGGAACACATTGAAATTATTGGGATCATACCTTTCAAACAGAAAACAACGCACCCAAATAACCAAAATATCTCATAGAACGAAAACAAAGGAAACATTCTGCTCAAATTACAGAACTGTTGTTAAGGGAGTATCCTTGGGCCTTTTATGTTTCTTATAATACATTAATGATTTACCAAAGAACATAAGACATCCTTGTTTGCTGACAATAGTATGACACTAATAAAATGTACGGATAGAAATATTTACGAAAATGAAATAAATAATGCACTTGCTGACATTGTTCACTGGCTTACAGAAAATCATGTTACATATAAATTTGTTAAAAACTACCTACATGCAGTTCCACCAAAGTAGAACTAGCCTGCTTGAACTAAATATTAACTATAAGGGATCGCCTATTACAACTTCTAGGCATAGAAATAGATACCTACTAATATGAAATGGAAAGCACATGTTCAGACACTAAACAAACACTTAAATAGTCAAATTTGCTTTGGGAAGACTTTCAAAAGTATTATATTATAAAACTGCATTAACAGCTTATAACATGTTAATATTAAACTATGGTATATATTTTGGAGCAACTGTTCGGATAAAGATACTATATTTAAAACTCAGAAAAAATTTACTAGAGCAATGTTCAGGCTTAAGTCTACTGCAAGTTGTAAACCAAGCTTTAAAGAATATAAAATTTTAACACTTCCTAGCTTATATATAAATGAAGTAGCAACATTTGTGCATTCAAACCTGTCATTGTTACCTAAAGCAAAAAAAGAAAACTCAACGTTTAAAACATAAAATTGTTAGTGAACTAGGTAAAACAGCACTATTACGACATAGTATGTTATGGATGGCTCCTGTTATCTACAATCTTTTGCCTAACAATATTAAAGAAAATGAAATAGAAGACTTAAAAAAAAACTAAAAGCTCTATTAGTTGAAAAAGTTTACTACTCAATGCAAGAATTTATTCATAAAAAATTTTGAAGTGATTTTGATACTTTTGTGTTTTATTTACAAAATTGTTCTTTCTTTTTATTTTTTGACATTTACTAAAACTATACAATTATGATTTAATGATTAACCTAGTAATTGGTAATAGTTTTGACATTGCAATTAATCAGACAATTTATTTCTATTTAAATATTTATATACCAATTAATGGTATCCTTTAATGTATTACTTGTGATCAACAGCCGTGGTAGCTCAGATGGTTAGAGCTCACTGTAAATTTCACAGTATGCGAGCAACCCAGGTTCGATCTCCGCCGGCACCAATGAAATTGTTAATTGCAATTTTAAGTGCTGATTTACCATGTGCTCGGCGGTCAAGGAAAACATCATGAGGAAACCTACATGTCTGAGAAATAAGAAAAAAATTTCAAAGAAATGTGAAGTTCATCAACACACATTGGGGCAACGTGGCAGACATTTCTATGCCCTAAAACCTTCTCAGAAATGAGGGGAGGCCTGTGCCCAGCAATGGGACATATATAGACTGTACCTTTTTTCTAACTTTTGTGATCAACAAATAAACATATTATTATTATTTTAAGTTCCCTAAAACAATATCATACCTCATTGGTAAATCAGCATAATATAAGTTTGCGATTTAAAATTTTTGTGGTGTGGGTGGGGATCAAATATGGAGTTGCTCCCATAGTTTAAATCGAATGTGAGCATTCTGCCACCAAATTATGATTGTTCTGCAGAATGTAGTTATAAATGCTTGTTAAAGATAAAATAATACAATATAGCACCTATATATATATTCATATAAAAGATGATGAATAATACACACAATTCTGAAAGAATTTTTTACTGAATTCTTATTCAGTCTAATATAGTAAATAAATATGAGTAGATTCTACTCATATCTATCATATTACTTTTAAAAAACAAGCGTCAAAATACTAATTAAAAAAATTTGCCAATTAAAGTTTGTAATAGTATTATTTACTTCATCATCATCATCATCATTACAGCCCTTCAAAAAGTCCACTGCTGAACATAGGCCTCCCCCAAAGAATGCCACAAAGCACGGTCCTGAGCCACCTGCATCCATCGACTTCCTGCATGTCTTACCAGGTTATTTACTCAGCATGATGTAATATTTTGAGTTGAGTATGAAATAATAGAACTTACTTTGGGTGAATTATTTGCTGTCCCAGGCTCTTGCTTGGTATGCAACATATGTTGATGAATAGTTGATGTTTGAATTGTATCTGCTTGTGATTGAGCTACCTCTGTTATGGTCTTCAGACTGCCATTCAACAATGTATGGTTTAACTGTGATGCATCTATAACCGGTGTTGCTATGCCCTGAGCTTGTAGTGCTCGTTTCATTAAAATTTCATTACATTCTTCTGCAGTTAATTGGATAGGACCAATTGGTGTTAGAAATGGTTTTGATGCCAGATTTGTTGCTGCAAAAAAGAGATTATTTCTTAAAGTAATTGTAAATACATAAGTAAAATACAAGAATAGTAGAGTATTAGATAAGAGGAATCTAATCTCTTGTTTTAAATAATAAGCCTTAAAACCCTCTCAGAAAAGAGAGAGTTTAAGGCTTTTAAAACATCAGCTATTAAGTATCAGCTGTGCTTCCACAATGCATGTTGGTAATACTTTTATAATTTCTCAGACATGCAGACTTCTTCACAATGTTTTTTATCATCACCAAGCATGTAGTAAAACTATTTAAATTGTAATTAACAAGTTTATTAGTGTCGGCAGGAATGAACCCAAGTTGCACATACTTTGAAATTTATAGATAGTGTCATAGACTTAGAATATACTGGCGTATAGAACAACATAGTGCGCAAGGGAGAAGAAAATGCCTTATGGCTAAAATGCAAGATAGAAAAGGATACCAAATCACATGACTCTGTAACTGATTTTGAATGACACGTCGGCACAAGTTCCACGCAAGAAATAGTTCTTAGATATTTTGGAATTTTTTAGAGTGTAATAGTGGCTATTTTTAGTGTGTAACATTTTTCCAAAATGGTAACTTATTCTGTGAGTGACTGTGGTGTTAATAATAGACATAATCTTGATAATTGCACATTTCACAGGTAAATTCTCAAGATGTTGTCAACGTTATGATGCATTTATTTTTGGTTACAATTTATGTTATATACTGTTTGAAATATAGAATGTTTTCAATTATTTTGTTAATTTTGATATTTTGCAAAGAAAATTCACGGTGTTGACAATTTGCATGAATTTGGTAAAAACATTGTTATACAAAATATTTTACATGTACACTAGGGATTGTCTCAAGTATATCAAAATTAATGTCAATATTAATCTTGAATGTTTATAATGAATCGATAGACTTGCCCACACAACAAGAAAATAACTCCTCAGTTTGTGTTCTAAAATGTAATTTTATTTTGGCGTTTGTCAAACAAATTCCCTCCAGATTCTATAATAAGAAAAAATGATTAAGGTTATTTGGACGGGTTGGTTGGAATCCAAAAAGAACTTAACAATTTGCAGCAAATATCTTCTTGAGAAGTATAAAAGAAAAAGTAGAATAAAAACAATTTTATTAGAAGGAGTTATTTATACATTATTTGTACCAGTACTTATAATATTATTATAATAAAACTTAAAAAATTAAACGTTCTAAACTTTAGATAAAAATAGAGACAGATTTTTATACATTTTTATATAGGATAAGGGTGACAAAAGAGCCCACAGTCCACCTGATGGTAAGTGGTTACTGCAGTCCATAGACATCTACATCTATTCTCGATTACAAATCAAAATGCAGATGCGTTGTCACACGTGAAGACTAAGATGTAATGCCTCGTTTCCAGTAAAAAGGGGCTCTGGTTCTCTACCCTCACCATACAAAACACAGCAGCATTAAGCTGCTATTTTATGTTGGTATTGTGAGAATGTGTGTCCTTCCCCGGTCGAGCCGACCCATTCATGCTACAACTACACCTACTACTAATATAGCTGCAGAATGGCTCTACCATGTAAGAAATTTAAACATTATAAAACTGTAGTACATTAAAGAAAAAAAAATCTTGGAATTATCCTCTTTAAGCCATTATGAACCCAACTAAGTATCTATTTATCAACCAAAATAAACATATAACCTTACTTAACCAACTGCACAGCCTCACGGTCACACTAGTACAATATTCATAGCATCACACTATTTTCCCCAAGGGGTTGAGTGGAGCTTCAAATTATATTCCCAGGTCACAATGATAAAACTTTTAGGTAAAGGTAGGTAAAGACTGTAAAATGCTTTGTAAAACAGTGATTTCTTAACTAAACTATAATAATATAGTGGTATTTCTACTTTATTTAATATTTACTTTGTATTGTGGCAGTCTGGTTCTGCTGTGTAACCCTATTTAAGGTGTGTGCAGGTGCCTCATTTACAACAAACATTCTGCGTGCTGTGACTGGTGTTCCTGCTACTACCCTTGTAACTTGTGCTGCCGAATTTGACACTGCTACTGCGACAGTGCCAACTTTTTCCTGCACTTGTGGTGTCTTGTGTGACATGACAGTCAATGTGGTTTCTGGTGAAACCTGAAAATCACATTGTATGTTACAAATAGTTAGTTTGCAATTTTTAAAAAAAATAGATTCATTACTAACAGAACAATTATATGATTTTTATTTTATTTTTTTAATATCACTAAACCAATACAAATAAAACAAAAATAAATGTGAATGGCCCTTGAACATTATAAGTACTTTTGTATCTTTATGAAAAATTTCTTAGACTTAAATCCACTAAAGTAAATAACAAAATTTGCAGCCATGAACAAATATAAAAATAACATAGAACTTTAGTTTAAATTTTTAGATAATATTATAGGAACTTAAATTATAAAAAACAAAAACAAGTAGGTACATTCTAGCTATTCTAATTTGAATTTGTAGCTTAACAACACACATTTTATTTTTCTTACTTTGTCTATAAACACACAAAATGTAAATAAACTGAGTGAAGAAGTATTTTTTTAAAGTCATTGGCTACTTTGTAATCAAGCAATGAACTGTATAAAGTTATTCTTACCGTGTTTCCTAAAGTATAACTTAGACTGCTAGGAGTCTCCACCTCGCCCTTCGTGAGATCGGCGGAACTGGTAAAGCCCCATGAATAACCAAAGCCCGAGACATTACTTGGCGTTGGCATACACATCTTTGAAAATAATTCTTATACCGCGCCAAAAAACAAGCCAACAAAGACAAATGCACCATCCAAAAAGTAAACACGAATCCTCATGACAGTTCGTCCATTAGCGACATGTATGCTTTCACAACTACTAATGCAAAACGCACCCATCAAAATCACGACGCCGCATAAACACTTTCTTTTAGTTACAGTTAAACTTATATATAATAATTAACAAACTTAAATAAATATTCGCGAAAAATTATAACAAATACTAGAGAATTAGACAAATGAAGTCAGTAAAAAAGGCGGCATAGGACGCTACAAGCAAAATTGACACGCACGTAATTTATCATAAACATTATCATGTGTGCACTATTTAACGTACAGTGGTGCACCATTTTGTTATTTATTATTATAAATAGTTTACGGATAATGACATTCAACTGTAGAGCTCGATTTTATGAAAACAATAATTTTATCGCACACACAAAAAACCGGACGCCATTTTATTGTTTATGGCTTTCGGCAGAGAGTTGTTGTTGTTTTTTTTTTCAGTTGGGGCAGGCAAAGTTCTTAGACTATACAAACTTGTGTAATGTATTGTTCCCAAAACTTTTAGGGAAAATTTTAGGGTGTCTGGCATTTTTTCCACCACCGAAATGATCTGACTTGAGATTATTAATAGAAAATGTACTTGATACGCTATTAAATTTACAGCGTGGCTCAAAAATAAATATTTTCTTTTTTTTTAAATATCATTGAGGTGGTCTAGTTCCGTTCAAATGATCTGCAATCAATATACTATGCTTATTATCCATACAAATAAATAAAATTGAAGTGTCTGTTTGTAATGTCAAAATTACAGTTTTTTTACTAAATGCATATGAAAGTAAATACGATACCTATAACTAAAATACAATTTTTAAAATTTTTGTCTGTCTGTCTGTCTGTCTGTTTGTTCCGGGCAATCTCCGAAACGGGTGGACCAATTTTGACGGGACTTTCACTGACAGATAGCTGATTTCATAAGGAGTAACTTAGGCTACTTTTATTTTAGAATAAGAATCAGGGTTCCGCGCAGAAACATAAAAACCCTAACACGCGAACGAAGTCGCGGGGAACAGCTAGTTGATAATAAAACATAATTTGTATTATTTCATGCTGTGTCAATTATATTTTTAACACAAATAGTTATTTTACCTTACTTTTACCTTGCGCAGTACCTGTCCCACGTATACATGCCAGGCAGACTAGCCATTCCCTAAACAACTTTCATAAACGAGACTTTTGACTGTATAACTATATGGCTCAAATCCGGGCTTAAAATGTGTCGCCAGCTCTCCGGCTATTCGCAATATATTTGTAAGCACGTCTATAAAATACTGGCTGGATCTAGAGTAAAGGTTTCACTATAGCGAAGCATCGTATCTGTGATAACGTGGAAACCGTTGTTGCTTATGAAGTACACATAGTGCTCACAACTTAATCACGTTGTTGTTTATAGGATTTTTGAAAAAAAAAACATCATTGGGAAGCGTACCATATACTATTTGCGACGAATTGCTAACGATCTGCTCATTATATTTTCTTGTATTTTATGTTGTAACGCACGCATATTTGCGCCATCCATCATGAGAGCATCTGAGTGTCGCCTCATTCGCCTACATATTGGTGGGTCACATTGTAAAGTTTGTAGGAAATTTTAACGACAGTTTAACCTAGGCTGATCCAACTTTGCATGAAATCCAATAAAATTGCACATAATCATAATTTTGCCTATATTTGGGTTGGGAGTATAAAAATAAAGCGATAAAAAGATATAGCTTGGCTGTTACTTTTTTCCCGATGCTTCAGATTGCCATTTTAAAAATTACATACAAATATATATAATTGAAAGAAACTGAAAATGTTAATTCTGTGCTATTTTTTTTTTTTTGTTTGGTCTTCCATGAATCCGTCTTCCATGATGTCATTTCAATAAAATACAGAATAACAGTTAAGAATTATTGTGATGATAACTTGAAAAATTTCGAAATAACACACATCACATTAGCTTGTTTACTTAACCAGTGATGTCACGACGGTATCTATTATGGCGGACATCGTTTTGCAGATTTGAGGCACAGATAAAAAATATTCTTTAAATTGAAATATAAAATTTTCAATGCATTTTCATAAGTAGAAATCAATATTTCTCGTTTACTTTTTACAAAATCTATTATAAATATATATTTTTTGATTCTTTTACATGGTGTAAAATACCCTATTTCAGGGCACTCCACTTGCTGCCTCCGCTAGCATCGGAATCCTTGTCGTTGACATTTCAAGAGATGTACAGTACCGTATTCAACGGAGAGCGGCCCGCGTCGACGACCATGTCCTTTCCGATCGGTTTGATCCACTGGCCTTGCGAAGAGACGTTGCATCTCTATGCAACTTCTATACACCACACCAATTATTGTTCAGATTAATTCCAGCTCCGAATTCCACCATGTTTCTCTGCAACAGAATTACAGAACTCGAAATTCCATCTTTATCATCTCGATGGCTGGCGGTCCACTACTTTGCGATTTATGTGGAATTTTCTGCTTCGCACGACCATACTGTGGAATTTACTTCCCCGAACACCCCTTTGTAACCTTGCGCTCCTAGAAACGTGCCTAGTTTGCCTTTAGGAATTTAGGATAATCCACCAACCCAAACCGATACCAACATTATATTGTGAGGAATTTTGTGAACCAAAGAAAAAAAATCAAGTCATATTTAATCATAGATTATTTTGACATTTGATAATGATAGAATCGAACTGTCAGTCAGTGCTTAACTTGTTTATGGTCGGTGCAGTGCAAAAATAAAATAATAATTTTTAAAAGTTCTGTATTTCTTTTATCTAAACATAATAATAAAAGACTTAAAGTTTGTATTATTATTGGATATAGTGAAATTTTATATACAACGACACCATGAATCCTATGTCAATGGACAGGGATGAACCGTCATCTTTGTTATCATATTCCACAAATCATCCCCTAGAGCAGTTTGTACTTTTAGCTAAAGGTGCTAAAGGTTTTGCATGTGCGGAACTAATTAAACAAGTACTGGAAGCTCCAGGGGTTCACGTATTTGGAGAACTTCTTGAAATGCCAAATATTAAAGAGGTTATAAAGATTGATTGTTTATATTTAACGAAAAAATCTTACGTAAATATATTCACGTCATATGTTTTAAATTTTTATTTCTATATTTCTGATTCACAGTTAGAAAATGGGCCTTATGCTACACACTATAAGACACTGAATCTATTCGCTTATGGAACATACAAGGAATACTTAGAGAACAAGTCAGAATATTTAGAACTAACTCCAGTACAATGTAAAAAGCTTCAACACTTAACAATTGCAACTTTGGCAACTCAGGAAAAATGTATTCCCTACAGTGTACTTCTAAAGGAATTGGATATCAAAAATGTAAGGGACTTAGAAGATCTAATAATAGAAGCTATTTATGCAGGTTTGTCGCTTTTACTTTGCTTTGAAAGTAGAATGTGGGTGTTGTAGGAGGTGATAATGAAAACTGAAACAGGAGATCTAGCTGATAGCTAATCAAAACTATAAAAACTGTGGTTGCCAAGTAAATCAACTATGGTACATATACCCCCTATGAGGCAATCTACGAGGTAGGCTTATGTAATCTGATGATGATGATGATAGTAGTATACCACCATTTTTGGCTAAAAGTATAAATAATTAAATATACTTTTATGAATAAGAATTTGATGCTCAAGTTTTAAAAGTATCATTCTACTTCCTCACTATAAATTCTCTAAAGGCTTTCTGCCAACATGTCAGTCAAACCATGTTTTAATAAAGTCCAATCGTGAAGCACGAAGAATTTCGTACATTGAACTGTCATTACCTGTCTCTGTCACTCCCGCGTAAATACAATGAGTCTCGCTCGCACAGATGCAATGGCCGCCGTCCTCAGGGATTGTAAACCTTTTACTGGAGACTATAAGGTTTGTTCTTGTTTGCATAATGTGGTTTTGGTTGGCCTTGAGTCACGACAAAAAGTCCTTGGTTTGCTTGACCTTGACGTAATTAATAATGTTTAAATAACGAACGACATTCCATCTTGGGATGCGTTAGTGATCGCTCAGTTTTCGGACACAGTTATTTACCTATTCTTAGTTTGTTGTTGTTTGTTAGTTTTTGTTATCTTGTTTTAATTGTTAAGTAGTTTTGTTCATTTGTTAAGTTTTATTCACTCTTTTAAAATGGAACCAGCGCCGTCTACCTCGCGTCCATTCAAGGAGTTTGTTTCTCCGCGGAAGAAAAGAAAAATGTCACACTTTAGTGTATCTGAGAAGGTAATGATTATTAACGTGTTTAAATACTTTAAAGAATCTTGGCCTGCTGATAAATATCCTTCAAAAAAAAATATGAAGGACAAAACAGCCGATATCTTGGGCATTTCGAAATCGGCAATATATCGTATCTTAAAAGAATATACCGACACAGATACCGTCAAGCCAGCTGCTTCACTGAAAAAACGACTCTCATTAATTGAAAAGATTGATGGGTTCGATAAATCGTGCATTAGACGAATAGTGCACAGCTTTTATTTAAAAGGAGAGTTAGCTACAGCAAAAAAGGTGCTACATATCATAAACACAGACGAATCCTTACCAAACATGGGCTTGACATCGTTGAATAAATTACTGAAAGATTTGAAGTTTAAGTATGTCAAACGAAGGAGAAATAACGGGTTAATCGACAGAGATGACATAGCATTGTTGCGTATCAAATATTTCAAAAATATGAAAACTTACCGACAGCAACAACGACCAATATATTACTTGGATGAAACTTGGGTGAATGCGGGTAAGACTTATTTTTATTATTTTCTAACTGACTTAAATCTATACTAAAATTATGAATGTGAAAGTAACACTGTCTGTCACCTTTACACGCCTAAACGGCTATTAACTGTTTAAACCTTTGATTAGTTCATTCATTTACTTTTCAGGGCACACTGTTGGCAACGTGTGGGAAGACACTACAGTGCAGTCACGAAAGCAAGCATTTTTGGAGGGTTTGTCGACGGGTGCCAAGAATCCTACTTCCAAAGGCAACCGGCTAATTATTTTACATATAGGAGGTAAACAAGGATTGGTGCCAGAATCGGAATTGGTGTTTGAATGCAAAGGTACAGGCGATTATCACGAATCGATGAATGCAGCCAAGTTCGAACATTGGTTTCAAGCAATGCTACCGAGACTTGAGCCAAACGCAGTGGTTGTCATGGATAATGCCAGCTACCACTCAAGACGCCAGGAAAAAATCCCAGTTACTAGTTGGAAAAAAATAGATATTCAAGAATGGCTTTCATCAAAGCAAATTTCTTTTGAGGCAAAGGAAACAAAAGTCCAGCTCTTGAAAAAGGTGAAAGATGTCAAGATTCAGTACCAATCGTACGTGGTCGATGAGCTGGCAAAAGCAGTTGGTGTGGAGGTATTGAGATTACCTCCGTACCATTGCGAATTGAATCCCATCGAACTATAGTGGGCAGACGTCAAGGGGTATGTGGCCCGAAAAAATACAACATTTAAGATGGCAGATGTTAAAAAGCTGCTCCAGGAGGCTTTAGGCAACATTTCAGCAGAAAAATGGCAAAATTGCATCAGTCACGTAAAAAAGAGGAATCGAAATTAGCTAGACTAGATGATAATGTAGACAAAACTGTTGATTCTTTTGTGATAAATGTGACAGGCGCGACGTCTTCGGAAAGCAGTTACCCCGATACAGAGGAATCGGATTCTGATTTTTGATTTTTTTGATTTTTTTTCTGCCGAATTAGTATATACTTGTCTAGATTTTTATTACTTGTAATATAAAATCTAAATAAATAATTTATATAATAATAATAACTATATTTCATAAGTTGGTAAATTTTCTTTCTCCTTCAAATATTTCATGTAAACCGCACTAAATACAAAAATGTTTGTGACCACTGTCAGTAGGTAAAGAGGTCATTGTACGAAATTCTTCGTGCTCCGCGACTGGACTTTAGCTGTCACCTTATCTTAACATATAAGTTTATATTTGATATTAACTGTACAGATCAAATCTCACAGAACTTACAAGGGGAGTGAAAACAAATGATAACAGGCGTTGTCACATTAATATATTCCCTTATATATTATATATTAGCCCTTCACAAATCCACTGTTGAACATAGGCCTCCCCTAAGGAATGTATATATAATAAGTAAATTAATGATATATATAAATAAGGGATGTCAGAAATATGAAACGAATATGCTAATTTAGAAGAATAGAATATATCATACTATGATGTTGTCATCAAGCCCACATTCTTAAATAGAATTGTTCCTGATCCTCAGCTTTGTATGAAAAAAGTGCAAGATCTTAAATGGAAATGGTGGATCAAAATGAATGTGCCATTGGAAAATAATTGTACACAAATATAGAACTAGTGTAGTAACGGTGTAAGAATATCCACTACCCTATATCATCCTGTGGGTGTCATAAGTGGTGACAGAGGGAAATAAATCAGAATATGGGCAGCGTTTTCCTAATAATGACTAAAAACAAAAAACTGCAGTTGCCAATCCACTTGCCAAGCATGGCAACTATGGCATATATCCCCTAATAAAGTAATCTAAGGGAGAGGGCTATATTCAACAGTAGAGTTTAAAAAGCTGTAATGGTAAGAGAAATAGAAATAGACTTTTATACATATTATCCTAGAATTATGGATGAATGTAATTTATCACTTGTTAAAAAACTCTGGTTTCCTTAAAAACAATTCATTATAATAATTGAAATCAAATGAGAAAAATCGGTATTATTCCCATTTATATTTTTATTGAAATTGAAAAACCATATATAAATAAACCTAGCAAGCTAACAGCATAGCAAAGTGGCGAAGCAATCAGCTTTGTAGCGGTTTCTAACGGTTGCCGTTGAGCAATCAGTTTCAAAATAGGAGGTTCAGATGCCTGGGTGATCAGTAATCGATTGCTGAAAACAGAATTTGAAAATTCGAAACCGTTCTCGAGATAATCGTGGAACAGACGGACAGACATCGTGAAATCAATAAGTGACTTCGCAAGCTTCACCACTTAATAACTGTACTATAGACAATTTTTTTAACCTGTATGAAATTTAGTATCTGATAGATTTAATTCCTTTTGTAAAAAAGAATAGACCATTAATTACTCTTTATATTAGTACTTCTCTGTTGATAATATCACAATTAAATTGCCTTTGAAGTTTGAAAATTTCGTGAGGATCTTATGGATTTAATTCATTCACCATTTATTCATTCATTTATTGATTACAGACTAACGAAAGTCCACAGCTGAACATAGTTCACCTCCAAAGATTGTTAGATAGAGGGGATATATACCATAGTTTTCACACTTTCATAGCAAAAGTGTGAAATAATTTGCCATCTGTCTTTTCATCCAACTACTATGTAGGTTTCATCAAGGTGAGAGTGAATAGGTTTATGCTAAGCCAAGTCAGCGTGCTGTAGCGATAGCTCGTCGACGTATTTGTCGTTAACGAAACCAGACATTCTATTTTCGTACATCGACTAGTCGATCAACTAGTTAAATTTATCAACTAGTTTACGCATTGACTTGGTTTTGCAGACATATAAACTCCGCAACGTCGTCTATGGCTCGACATAGTTGACATACATAGTATGTAGACTAGTGCAACGGCATGATGTATTAAGTCGTATATAATTAAGTCGCCCTTCTCTTTTGTACACACAATGATACCATGACGGCATCCTTTTCTACACCTAACACAATATAACAAACTTGTTAGATCCAATAAAACACCGTAATTTAGGTTGTGCTAGGTAGCAAAACTAATGACAAACTGGTTGACTGAACTAACATTATTTCTTAACAAAGTTATGCAAGTACCCAGCTTCATAACTATTTATGACAATCTATGATATAACAAAACTGCTACTTATACTTTTACGCTATCTATATTTAGAGTTCTAATTTGTTTGTGTAATTATGTCTTTTTATCATAATATGAACTAATACTATCTGACCACATTCTCACGTCGGTCGTCATGTTGCTAGTCAAAATGACTAAGGCAGTAAATGATAATGCAGCCATCTTTGGCTGCATTATCATTTACTGTCAAATGTTATAGTAATCAAAACACTACACACAAGCTTTAGAATGAGATTATTTTGAGTACAATAAAGAATTTTCTATTTATCTATCCATAATATGTACATAAATATATTATTTTTTCAATTAGACTTTATATATTAGAATTAGACTAATTTCTAAAGAAAGCTATCATAAAATATGTACTTTGATTTTTAGGCATTTGTGTGGAATTACATAATAATGTACTCATTTTAACACTTCTTAAGGGATACAAAATGTTGGAGCTTCTTGCGCCATAGATGATTCTCTATAAAACTGAAGTAAACCAATTATCTGTTCTTAAAGCTTGATGTTACTTACTATATCTTAACTTTAACTAGTTATAAATGAAAAGGTACTTATTTGTTTTTCTCAGAAACGGATATTAAATGAGTATGCTAAAAATAACATTTTATAACATACGTAATTTCCTTCCTATTGTGTCAAAGTACCATGCATATGAATGAAAGAATGATATGTTTGAAATTTTTTTATAAAACATTTCTTTATTGTAACATTACAGATATAATTCATGGCAAATTGGATCAAGAATGCAAGCGCGTGGAAGTTGATGTTGCACTTGGAAGAGATGCAAGACTCGAAGATGCTTCTGCTATAGCAGATGTTCTAGCTGACTGGTGTAATGCTTGTGAAGCTGTTCTAAATTCAGTCGACCGCCATATACAACGCGCTAATCATCACAAACAAAAAGCCTTGAGACATCAACAGGGTATTGAGCAAGAGGTCTGTATCATCATCATCATTACATCCCTTCAAAGAATCACAACATAGGCCTACCACAGATAATGCCACAAAGCATGGTCCTGAGCCTTCCTACATATCTTACCAGATCGTCACTCCATCTAGGAGGGGAGGTGGCTCTACACTTCATTACCAGTACAATGCTGCCATCGAGATCCTCTCTTCCTCATCTGTTGTTGGTTCTTTGAGCCAACAACTGATGGGGAAGCCAATGGCCAGATCATTGCTACTTTAAGCTTACTGATTCATGGGGCTATGCTGATTATTCTTGTTCTACTACTGATATCCTCATTATGAAGTCCATCACAAAATGAAGTGTTACATTTAATGTTAATATAGTTCTTGCTTTTAATTGATCGGTATACTTCTTTGCCACTAGGTACTAACGAAACTACGGTACTACATGACTAGCTGTGGTAGCTTAGGGCTTAGCACTCTTTGTAAAAAATATAGCACTGAAAATTATTATTTCATATCTAAATAATAGAGCACAAACAGTTGTTATTAATGGAAGCAGTTCTTCCATATTGGTAGTATCTATGGGTGTTCCTCAGGGCTCAGTTCTTGGTCTCTTCCTGTTCTTAGTTTATATTAATAACTTACCATACTTGGTAGGGAATAACCATGAAGCAAATACAAAGAGGAGACGTTGTAATTCAATTTCACTATGAAACAACTCGTGACAATTTGCGGGGTGAGGGGATGCAAAGCCCCGCCCACTACACTATCTACATCTACCGATAAATAGTAAAACTACTCGAATCTGTCCATATCAATGTTGCAATGTAGCTTAGCTACCTTGACGGTAGATGGCAGCATATCCACAAAATGTTATAAACTAAAAAATAATATTTTGGCGATTAAAATTTCTTTATGTCTGAATGCAAAACAAATTTTAGCACCTTCGTATGATTATTTTATCGTTACTGAGCTCTACGTACCTTTATATTTTTAGTTCACAGGACATAAAGTGTCGCCATCTAGTGTGGAATATATTTAGTTGTATTTGAAAGCCAACGCAAAGATTTTTCTAGAACTATTTTAATAAATTAGATGTAAAATTACTTACAAATGAAATGTGATGCCATCCATAGCATCGGAGCGTCTATCTCATGAAGCAAATACATTCAGACAAAGAAATTTTAATCGCCAAAATAATGTTTTTATAGTTTTCATAATAATTTTGGGAATAGGCCGCCATCTATTGTCAAGTAAACCTCATAAAAAATTACAAAACGACAGGGCCGCAATTAGAATTCAATTATTTTACCCAGTAACCCAACATTCAATATTAAAATGAAGGAAATTGTACTTGGCTGATTTTTACGAAATGTTTAAGTTATATTTAACTGACATTCTATATGCAAAGTATTACTTAAATACAATTTAAATATTTTATTATTTCGTGAAAGTCTACCTTCAAAAAATATTTATTTTATCCATAAAATAAAGTCTCTTTGAAACTAATTATTCTATGTTCAATATTAAGTAGGATATTTAATTTGGAACTAAATATCCTATTTATCTCACTAATATTATAAAGGAGAAATTTTGTGTGTTCTTTCCGTCTCCTTGAGCTTATTCCACACTAAGTAAGTACTGTGTATGTGTAATTTTTTCACGCAAAAACGGCTGGACTATTATTTATCTGTGGGTTATACTACTTAATATCTCTGAGGGAGAACAAATAATAGACAAATTATTATAATTAATATAATTTTATTTACAAATCAATTAAAATATAAATATTTTATTCCAAATTAGGCATCCGAATGCACTTTTTGAATGCCAATCTAAGAACATTAAATTGTATTTAAGTGATTCTTTGCATATAGAATGTCACTTAAATATAACTTAAACATTTCGTGAAAATCAGCCTAAGTACAATTTCCTACATTTTAATATTGAAAGTTGGATTACTGATTAAAATAATTGAATTCTAATTACGGCACTGTCTTTTTGTTATCTTTATGAGGTTTACTTGACTATAGAATACGGCCTGTTCACATAATGATTATAAACTATAAAAATAATATTTTGCGATTAAAATTATTTTATATCTGAATGCAAAACAAATTTCAGCACCTTCGTATGTTTATTTTACCAATACTGAGCTCTACGGACCTTTATATTTTTAGTTCACATGACACAAAGTGTCGCCATCTAGTGTCGAATATATTTAATTATATTTGAAAGCCAACGCAAAGAGATTTTTCTAGAACTATTTTAATAAATTAGGTGTAAAATTATTTACAAATGAAATGTGATGCCATCCATAACATCAGAGCGTCTATCTGAGTAGTTTTTACACAATAAAACACAACACTTCATCCTTTTCTTCTTAATACTACTAAAATACATCGATTTGCGATTTTTTCAACACATGAGCGCACAGGACGAATGCTGACAGTATACTAACTAAAGCCACGCCCACTATGATGACGTCAGGACCTACTTAGAATCACAGTGAACAGTTGCTTATGCCGTCTCCCCTTTGTATTAGCTTCATGGGAATAACCATGATATAGTATTATTCGCTGATGCTACTTCGTTCATTTTCCGACTAAAAATGCAGCTATTGAAATATGACGAAGTGAATAATGCTATATCAAAAGTAGTAAACTGGTTTAACGCCAATAATTTACTTTTGAACGGTAATAAAACGAAATGTATTAAATTCACCACACCTAATGTTAAACAGGTGAATACCGGTGTACTTTTAAATGGAGAGGAACTGAGTCTTATTGAATCCACTGTTTTTCTCGGAATTACAGTTGACGCGAAGCTTCAATGGGGCCCTCATATATCTAAACTAGCTAGCAAACTTAGTTCTGCAGCAAATGCTGTAAAATATAATAGATGCCTTACATGTGTTGAAACAGCTAGATTAGTTTATTTTAGTTATTTCCATAGCAGAATGTCACATGGAATCTTGCTATGGGGTAAAGAGCCATAAGAGCAATTTATAACCTAGGTTCAAAGGAATCCCTTATAGAAAATTTTATAGAAATAAATATATTAGCCTTGGCCTCTCAATATATTTATATATTTACGAGAACTTATTGTATGTACACAAAAACAAAAATAGTTTTATTAAAAATAGTGATATACATTCTATAAATACTAGAAACAAGCACAAGTTAGTTATACCAGTTACTCAACTCCCAAAGAGTCAGTAACTCCCTTCACGGGGCAAAATGTATACACTTTTACAACATAGTCCTAGAAAATATGCAGACCTTATCTATCAAAAGGTTTAAATTATTTATTAAGCAGAAATTGTCTAGTAAGGTTTATTATACTACTAAAGACTGATAATAACCCCTGGGAATGAGGTGATCACTACCATGCTGTGTCTAAAGATTTTCAAAACAATTGTATAAAATATTATATTGTAAATTGTGCTGTATAAAAAAAAGTCCCGCTGGAAGCAAGAATGCTGGTTGCTTGCTTGCAGGACGGAGGTTTTTTTGCGAACAAGTGGTAAAAGTAAAAGAAAAATGACTTTCAATAAGTATTATGTACTGTAATCTTATCTTCTATATTAAATAAAAATGATTCTATTCTATTCTAAATACCACAGCAAGGGAACAACCCGGTTCCGGTTTCCGGCATCAATGAAATTGCTAATTGCAATTTAAATTGATTATTTTCTAGATGTTAAACGGTGAAGAATAACACCGTAAGGAAACCTGCATGTGTCAGATATTAAAAAAAAATATTTTGAATTCAGCCAACATACGAATACATGCAACCAGCGTGGCGGACATTCCTAGCCTTAATTAAAACCTTCTCAGAAATGAGAGTAGGCCTATGCCCAGCAGAAGGAGGTATAGGTACAGGCTTCCTGTACATTGAGCCCTAGCCGCGCCGCAATTTAGAGCGAGTACACATTAAGCGCTTTGAAGCGCACGTTTTGGTAACGCGTGTTTTAAAAACCGGATTTGTCGGATACATTCGTTCACATTCCAACACACACTTCTATTCTAGCGCGTGTCAGACGCGCGCTGTCATATTTTGGTTACAACGCTCGTTGCAAGGGCGTTAAGCTTCGTATCGATTATGCGCTCCAAGAGGTCGAACATTGGCGCGGGTCCCATCCGCTTGAAATTGATACCACCTTGAAAAGCGCGCCAAATTGTTCGTTGGAACGCTTAAACCTGGAGCAGACCGTTCCATCTGGTGTCGGTTTTTTACCGCGTATCAAAGTAGTTTTGGCACGCCGGTTGGGACCGTTGTTTTCATCATTCGTGTGTTCGTTGCGTTCCGAGCTATGGATAACCAAAGTTGTCGTAAATTGATAAAATTATATGGTTTAAAATAACTGCTGTGGAATAGCAAAAGTTGTTGTTATCATAATAAAGCGCTCAGAGAAGATGCTTGGAGAAAACTATGAAAGCGACAGTTGCTCGTACACGACCGACGTCCATGTTGAACGTTCAGCGGTCACATACTGGAACAGCTGCCGCCGTGCTTAGCCACACGCTTTTAAGCCGCCTCCACATGCTTGGCAAAAACAACGGCAAACAGCGAACACCAAATAACAAACACGAACGTGTGGTGTGGTGGTGTTTCCCTTTTTTTGTTTGTCTTTGCCAGTGATCGGTGTCGGTGTTTTTGTGCAAAAATCAAAGGGTGTTAGACAAACATGCTTGCGATGTATCCAAACGCTTGGCAATCAGTTGCCAAGTTTCGTCCGCCGTGTTTGCCCATTCGGAATATACTAGCACGTTTGCCAAGCATGTGTATGCCGTGTTTGTGTTGGATGATTGTAGTCGGTGTATGACACGTGTTTGATGATTCTTGGTGTTTGTGGCAAACACCAAGCATATGGAGGCGGCTTTAGATACATTCGCCGCCATTTTCTTGTATATTTGATCGCGCTCTTTCGTGTACAGTGGACGCATGTTCAAAAATGGATATAGAACATTTTGATACGGATTTCTTTGTCGATGAAATTCAAAAGCGATCAGCTAGCACTCGCTCTGATACTATCTCAGCAAACGCTCGTCGAACGCTATGCTGAGCGCCCAATGTGTACTAGCTCAATTAATGTAAGCTAGCACAATTCGCGTTAACGCAGCTGCGGTTATACCATATGCCTTATGCGTTTTTTTTTTCTTGTACTAACTTGCTAAACGTGCGGCTAAAGCTGTACTGTACATGTACTGGAAGCCTAACTTGCCAATAAAAAACTAAATTACACACTTTGGGCTAGCGTGACGGATACTTAATCGCCCTAAAACCCTGTAGAAATGACAGAAGGTCTGTGCCCATTTGTGGGACACAAATAAGCTGTAACGTTGCTTTTATTTTATAAAGTAATAGCAACGTTACAGCAGTAGAGCAATACGATATAACTTTTATTTCGACACACCGCTTGCAACTTTATAAGGCGCAGGTTCGGCCTCACATGGGTATTCCATGTTAGCATCTCTGGGCTAGGGCACCTCAGTGCCAGCTCCTCCCACTTGCCCGTATTCAGCAAAGAGCGGCTGGAATCATTGACGACTGAGTTCTTTCTGATCGGCTCGATCTACTAGCGCTGCGAATAGATCCATCTATTTATATTTTCTATCGCATTTATCGGAAATGTTCAGAGGAATTGTTTAGATAAATTCCAGCTGCCAAATTCTACCAAAACACATCGTGACAAAACTCACGATACCAACCACACCATTAAGATGCTTGATGCGGTCCACTACTGTGCGATTTACTATAAGTTTTCTTCCACGTACGAAATCTTTGTGAAGTTGTTTACCAACGGCGATTTTTTTGGACCGATATGACTTATGGACTTTCAAGAAACGAGTTTTTAAAAGGCAGGCAATGCACCTGCAATTCCCCTGGTGTTGCAATTGGTCATGGGCGGTGTTCGACACTTACCAACAATTGAGCCGCATGATTGTTTGCCACTGTTATACGTTTCCAATTACTTACGGCTATTAATAGTTTATTGTAATTCTTCTTCGTGGGATCTTGACAGAGTGGAATAAGATCCTCCACATTCTCACCGAGTTTGTCGTAAGAGGCGACTGAATTATATATACAGACACTCCACCAGCATCCAGAAAAGGAAAACTATGTATGCAACCTAATCCCGGACTGGTGCCTTTGTTAGGCGCAAGGCAGGTCCTGCAGTAGAATCGGCTTTGCATGTAGTAACTTGTTCCTTGTTCTTGTGAGTTCAGCCGGTGAGTCCGAGGGGTCCCAAAGTCTATACAGTGTGCAAACCGGCATTACTTAAGTTGCGTCCCAGGCGACGCAGTGTATGTAGATAGTTATACTTTATTTAGAGGTAAATAAACTGTTATTTTAGCCGAGGGCGGCTTTAAAAAAGCAGGAGTCTCATTCAGACTGCATGTTCTTGTTTGTTGTATTTTACGCGAAATCTTCGACAATTGTGAACAGATTTTAATTATTTCTATTTGATTAAATACCTATAGGTTATACATTAAGGATGATACCATTGAAATTAAAAAAAATCCTCAAGGGTGGGAAAAATAGGAAATAAAGTTTAAATGCGCGCAACATTACATAATAGCGTGCGACATTCTAGATGTTAATTTGAGCTTATCATATTCCTTAGTCCACTAAAAAGGGTAAAAAAATTAAACTTAAAATAAAATATACGTGGTAGAGCCATGCTGCTACTATATTAGTAGTATAGTTGTAGCACGAATGGGTCGGCTCGACTGAGGAAGGACCACGCTCTCACAGAATAGCAGCGTAAAATAGCAGTTTAACACTGCTGTGTTTCGTATGGTGAGTGTAGAGAACCGAAGACCCTTTTTACTGGAAAAGAGGCATTCCATCTTAGTCCTCACGGGTGACAACGCATCTGCATTTTGATTCTTTATTGGGGATAGATGTAGATATTTATGGGTCACAGCAACCACTTACCATCAGGTGGACTGTGTGCTCGTTTGTTACCCTATCCTATAAAAAAATTAAAAGTAAAAACCAACTTCAGAGAACTAAATAGAATAAAATAATTTCCACATAATAAGTGGGCGCTTTAATTAATAATTATATCTATGCCTTAGCCTGCCTCAGAAGCTATTATCTCGAAATTATTTATTTGAAGACGGTTTTAATTTTTTTTTTATTCTATTTTTATAATATTATGTAATCTGCTTTGCACACAGGCAAACTCGTCTTCCTTATTTCCGTTTATCTAGTAAATCAAACGTAAAATGACAGTCAATGTACGTCTTGTTTCTGGGCACTGGCCTCCTCTTATTATTGAAAGGGTTAGAATGTTTACGCACTGCATCTGATCGGAATCCCAGTAAATACAAAAGAAGAATAAAGAACACGAAGTTTTAATAATATTTTTGTATTTATTTTAGTTTCGTTTTTTGCCGCAATGTTTAATTGTCGCACAAACTCTATAGGCCAATTTTATCATGGTACTTATTGATCCACGCCCCATCCCAATTCTGATGAAACAGTTGCATGTAGAATCTAAGACCTAATGACCCTTCATTTGGAAATTAACTATATTAGAAATTGTACCAATATTGGATATTGTTTCAGATAATGTACATCAAGAAAACTCTGAAAACCCAAGCAGAAAACGACGAATCTGCTTCTGGTGGCGGCACAGAAACACATTCAGCGCCAAAGAAGAACTCTGGCAAGGGAAAAACCCCGCGAAATGCTGCGAAGTTCTGGCAGAAGAACACATAAAATTTATGAACTCTATGTATATTGTGATATATAATAATAAAGATAAGGATGGCTTGCTTAAATTTGATTTTTACTTCATCACGTTTTATATTGTTATACATAAATGAATTCAATTCATGCTATGATAACAAATGCATAATTTTTTTTCCTGTTAGGAGCTGTTTTGGTATAAGGCTATTAAGGTATGCTATTATTATTATTATTATTTGGGGCATCTATATAGTTTACTCATCTGGTTGGGCTGTATAAATATATAATTGTAAATGAAAATGATAAACATACATAAATATCAACAAAATAAAATAAATGCATAAAAAATACATAAATAAATAAAAACCCAACCAGATGGAAGCCCTCGGCAGGGGAGACCAGACGGCCGAGGGTTAGGGGGAAAGGGAAAGAAACCGGCGGACGATGCGGGCGGTATCGAGGAGCACCGCCTTCTGCATTTGAGCCTGGAGCGGTCCGTCACGGAGTCCCAGTCGCCTCAGATGACCCGGGAGGCTGACTGGGATTAACCCGTTCGCAGAAACGACCACAGGAATAATTTCGGTCGGCAGACCACCCCACATGCCGGTAACCTCGTGAGCCAGGTCCAGATATTTTGTCACCTTATCTGTTTCGGCTTTCACGAGGTTCTCGTCATAAGGAATGGTAATGTCGACCAAAAAGATCCTTGACTGTGCCCGGTCCATCAGCACAATATCAGGCTTATTCGCAAGAATAGTCCTGTCTGTGATGATGGCCCGGTCCCAGTAGAGCCTGGCGCGGTCATTTTCGAGCACGGCTTCCGGCAAGTACTTATAATACGGCAGTTTCAGTTTTTTTTTATTATTATTATTAGGCTGACATCCCAACAAACTAGTGAACCTATGGAAATAGTTTATGATGTTGAGGATACTCATTGATGTTTATAAAATATTGTTGGCAAGTATTCCAAGTAGCGGTAGTCGCATACCAACACGTGAGCCGCATCCTCTCTCCTGTAAAGAGTTAAATACTCCACAAAAATTTGTAAGTATATCTATTCTATATACAAATAAATAAAATTGAAGTGTTTGTTTGTAATGTCAAAATTACAGCTTTTTACTAAATGCATATGAAAGTATATACGGTACTAATAACAAAAATACAATTTTTAAAGTTTTTGTCTGTCTGTACTTTTGTTCCGGCTAATCTCCGAAACGGCTGGACCGATTTTGACAGGATTTTCACTGGCAGATTGCTGATGTAAACAAGGAGTAACTTGGCTTCTTTTATTTTAGAAAAAGAATTAGGGTTCCGCGCAAAAAAAATTAAAAACCCAAATAACACGCGGGCAAAGTCGCGAGGAACCTAGTTATAGAATACACGTGTACAGCATGAGTGGAAATATGCTCCGGTCCTTTACTCAATTAATGCAGAATATAGGTAAAACACCCAGATCAGTGTTGAGATACGGGAATCAGTGCAGCATCTCCGCGCATCTTCTATCGCATATTCTTACGTGGTAGAGCCATGCTGCAGCTATATTAATAGAATAGTTGTAGCACGAATGAGTCGACTCGACCAGGGAAGGACCACGCTCTAGCAGAATACCAGCGTAAAATAGCAACTTAATGCTGCTCTGTTTCGTATGGTGAGTGTAGAGAGCCGGAGACACTTTTTACTGGAAACGAGGCATTCCATCTCAGTCCTCAAGGGTGACAACGCATCTGCATTTTGATTCGTAATGGAGGATAGATGTAATCGTATATGTCTATGGGCCACAGCAACCACTTACCGTCAGGTGAACTGTGTGCTCGTGTGTCACCCTTATCCTATAAAAAAAATTGGAAAGACTGACACAGATATAAGGAAAGAGTGACACAGAAATAAAGAAAGATTATTTTCCATATTTCTGTGTTACTCTTTCCTTATTTCTGTGGCATTCTTTCCTTATTTCGGTGTCACTCTTTTCTTATCCATTCTATCTATTCTTCTTTCTATGCGTCTAAACCACCGAAGCATTTCTTACTTAATCCTAATAAAAAAATAGAGATGAAGCGTATATACTAGAACAGATCTAGGCACTAGGTATTGAACGAGACTAGGTTGCACCTGTTCGAACTTTCAAAATACTCGATCTACCTAGCCTCACTGTGCCCCCTACGCGTCGCACGGCACCGGCGCGGCGGCCCGCTCGAATCGAAGAATTACCGGCGCGTCAAAGCGAGATACATAGCATTTTGTTGCCGTAGTTACTAGTCTGCTTTGCCGCTCACTCATGTTTGCCTAAATCATTCATGTGTCAGTCATTTGAATTTGAACTATATTATAATATGTATAAAAGTAACACGACGCATACTCGTGTTGTGCACAGTCTTTCTATCTTTTTCTGTCAATATTCGAGACTATCGGAACTAGTCCTGGGGACTTCAACCAAATACTAGGCAGATTTTATACACTAGGTACTTGTAAATATTCGATGCGGACGGAGACCATATGATACAGTCGTCTGGTCTAGTACGGACTCATGCGAATGTGATCTCGGCACCGTATGATACCTACTCGATTTATTTAGCAATAGGTTTTCATAACGAAGTTTTGTTATGTGTTTAAAGAACTTTCGATCTATTTTTTATTTGGACATTAAAGTGTTTATTGTTTAAAAAAATTGTAGCAGTGTCGCTTGGGATCCTTTTACGGACAAAGGACAGCAAATGGTTGAGTGTAACATTTGTCAAATATAATTTGGTTTTAAAAATTTTTTAAGACTGATTTTTTGCGCGTATATAAAAACAATGATTGTAGATAGATAATTAAAAAAAACGTAACAAAAATAATAAAAAAATAAACGAAAAAAAGACAAAAATCGGATTACTCTTAATTAAAAAATGAATTTAAATATTTTAAACACGCTAACAATCTAGAATGTAGATAAATCTTAACGTATGAATGGATGTTCAATCGATTACTATTCATTACCTTCACGTATGGGCTTTACATAAAGACTAAGCATACATAGGTACTTTAAAGTGTAAGCTATTCCAACTATACCAATCTCTATGCGTACTTCATGGACTAGGTGGAACAGGTATTTGGATCGAGTATTTGTACGGAATTTGTATGTGCACCTAGTACATAATTTACTTAATACGACGCATCACTAGTAAAAAACATCTTGCAAACCACAGTTTTCTCTTATCACACAATTTTCTTCTATCATTCAGAGTGTCAACCCTAACATAATATAACTTAATGACTGCATTTCTTCTGTCACACCCAATTTTCCCTAACACACATTAAGTTAGGGACTAACTCGTGGTAATTGTATAAACGCGTAGTGTTTCTATATAGTTTGTGATTGTATATAATTAAAGAGACATAAAAACTAACAAAGCATTGTGTGTTGCCATACTATACGTCCCTTTATGTCATGTCATGTGTAAAAGATCCACAAAAGTGTAGAGCCCCATTTACACATGTGCCTGCCTGTGCCACATAGTGTCATGCATTCATGTTTCATGCGTGCTAGGAGTTTTCTCTTATTACATAAATGCAATAATAACTTGAAAACACGTAACGTAAGTAGTATACTATGTCTAAAATTAAATATAATACACAGAACTAACCACATTTCTCTTTGTTAATTTTATATCTTCGTAGTTTAGAAAAAAATGGTAATAGAACGATAGTCTTTAATAGTTGTTATCGGTATATATACTCCGGCAACACTTATTATTAAACGTCATAAATGCTAGAGAGAGAAAAAATAGGCTCGTACTAGGCTAGAGAATGAGACAAAAAACCCGGTACCTACAACGAGACGTGACGAGCGGCAGACGACCGAACTGCGAGTTGGGTCGTTCTCTGGCCGTTTGTTTTTGACGCAGCAGCGCAAACAAATTGCGCAGGCAATGCAACGATTATTACGTTCGCAGGCCGCTGTAAAGTGATGTAAATAATACATAAAAATCCGTAACATTGTAAATAAAGACTATATTTTGTAGTTTTAAACACTAAATTATTGTAAAAACTTATATTGTGGTATTTTTCAGTACCATAGCAACCGTAAAGTGAATATACGTCGCAAGTGAGATTGACATTTTTGCAATGGATCCGTGATTATTCCAAATAGGATTTGTAGACGCTTTTTGTTATAAAGACTATCGTTTTCCATAGTGCTACATTTCGAGAGCGCGCGTGTATTGGATGAACAGAAAGGCAAGTATGCCCTTTGTTAGGTTCATGCCAATCACCTTTCACATCACTTCATAATTCACTTTATAATTATATACCTAGCTAATTGGAGATAAAACATTGTATTTATTCTGTAATCTGAATTTAAACAATTAAACTAATCAATAAAGAAATAAGCAGTGTGTATGTTGATCAATATCGCGTAATATAAAATATTGCGTTCCTTGTTTGTGTGGGTCGGATTGATATTCTTTGTTGTCGGAGCTCGGAGCAGTCAGCTGTTCGCGATGCGGGTGGCGGGAGACGGGGACACGCGGACTATAAACTCGTTTGACTGGTGCGGCGCGGTTTCTATTATCGTGTGCATACAATGCATTAGCACACTCCTTACATCCTGGGAGATCATAGCAATATTGCGGCACGTGCTGGCGCGGCGTCATTGCGTCTATTGCTATCTACTTCTTTGATTGTTTGCGTGTATGTTAACAGGTACTTACTGAATACTGCTAATTGCCTGGTAGCATAAAACATAACTTGATTAGAGTTCACTTGTTGTCAAATTAAATGTAATAATTTATTGGAAGTAATTGGAAGTAAAGACTAGAAATGAATTGGGACTCTAACTTTAGGCCTAGTCAGTTTGAATAGCCTATCATGTAGATGTCATGGGGGTCATGGTTGAATAGGGGAAAAATTTCTCATTCACTCATAGGCGTCAAAATGGCCTTATTACGGCTATAAATCCGCCTCATTGGGAGGTTCTTATACAGTCTTTATTTCCCGCATCCCACTTGTTTTTAACATAGAAATAGAATTATGTGACCTTTGTCATGCATCTC